ATACTTGCCACCCAAGAGATTCCAGCCTTTGAGCTTCTTCTCGGCCTTCTTCTCGTATTCCTGGGCCTTCTCCTCGTAATCCCCCATTGCTGTAGCTAAGAACCCTAACCAACCCGAAATAAAGTTAACATTTACTTTAAATCATAATAATGTTAATTGGTCGACTTCCCAGACTAAGTTCTACGTCGCAACTGAGATGGCTATGGTGGACGAAGATATCAAGAAAAAAATGGATTTAAAAACTTTGAAAAGAGAGTTAAAAAGTGTTTGAAATTGTTGGGAGGGAAATGAATGAATGCCTTTGTGTGGAACAACAAAAGTTTGTTTGCCAAGCAATGCAAAGTGTTGTCTAGCATGGGAGAAAGAGATGGCAGTTGCGGAACCAAACAACTAAATCCCATCGAGGAAGACCAAAAGCTATGAAAATCCTAGGCTATATTGAATGGCAAAAATATAACTAATGATTTTGTAACGCAGTATAAAATCAAATAAAATAATTAACCATACATAACAAAAGAGACATATCCGGCTTATTCTTATAAGGTTTTTAAAAAGAAAAGAAAAGTTGGTAAATGCAGAGAAGAGGGATGGGCAGGAGAAAGATTGATATCAAGTATCTTGTGAAGAACAACCCGCGGACACAAACATTCCGCAAGAGAACCGAAGGTTTGTTCAAGAAGGCAATCGAGCTTCAGGTCTTGTGTGGCGCTAAAGTGGAAGTCACGGTCATCTATGACTCCGGCAAGAAGCACTTCTTCTACTCATCCGATCCCAGCGCTCCACAAAAACTCCCACCAAAGATCACGGTGGAGTCAGTGATTGCCTCGAACAGCAGCAGCAGCGAGGATAGCTTTGGTGACGATGAAGTTGACAGGATGTTTGCAGAAGCTGAAGGCCAAGATCAAGATGGGATGTTCTTCACGGACGATGCAAGTAGTGGTGGATTTTTCACGTCCAGTGCTGAAGTTCTTCCGGATCACTTCCAGCTCTTAAACCTGGGCGATCACGCGAATGGTCACTTAGGCAATTATGTAAATGGTCACGCAGGGAATCACCACAATGATCATGGTCACTTGGGCGATCACCCGAATGATCAGCTAGATTCGATGTTTCCTCCCAGGAATGACCACCAGCAAATCTTCCATGGTTTGTATAGCCACCGTGTACATGGAGATGGAAATGGAGGTGGAAGTTTGTATAGCAATGGAGGCTTTGTTGCGCAACAAAACGATACTAACAACATGCAAATGGACAGCGATTTTGACACAGCAGTGTTCCTCAACCAGTCTTAGAAGAAAGAGTTCGCATTTACACAATGTATATAGCCATCTATATCTAACAATTTAGCTACAAAAACGTTTGGTATGTTTGATTTCAACCTTGATCGTCTTCTTCGAGTGTTGCAAATGAAAATGGCTCAAACTGGTAGCCATCGCCCCCGTAAAACTTGCCTTGGAACTCTACCCAGTGAAGGCGAAGCGCATGGAGGAATGCGCTGAGCGTCTCCATGATTAGCAACACCCCCACGGTTGCACAGATGAAGACGAAGCCACCGATGATGAGAATCATGGTGTTGTGGTAACTGCATCAATTCAAAAGAGTTCGCTTCATAAAAGCAAAAAAAGTAGAGAAAGACCACATACCTCCATGCCAGGATCAAGACTTTATCGTAAAACACGGCCGAGAGTTGGGCATGAGCGAGGCTGTGGAAAGCTAAACACGTCAGGAGCACGAAACAAACGAAAACAAAGTTGGTTTACCTGAGAGCCCACAGCCGGAGATAGGAAGCTGTGTTCGACACAGCACCTAGCACGAACTCAATGGTTTCTATCATTTGGTGGACGAAGGTCTCACCAAAGTCGAATTCTTCCTCGCCGTGGTGGTGGTCGTGCTCGTTGTCAACGGATTCACCATCCGAGCCAGCATTCAATATGCCATAAGAACGCCCGTGCGTTCTCTGTAAAACCATATTGTAAAGTCATCACTCAAGAAAGAGTGCATTACCTCTTCATGTCGTTTTTTCAAAGCCAATGGCTTCGGCAAAAGCATTGTTGGAACCGCCACGACAGCAATTAATAGCAGAAAGCACTTGGATAAAAAGAGATGTTAAACTCGAAAAATAATAAAAAAGAACCTTACCTGAACCTCCGTTTGTCCAGAAAAAAGCTGGTTTGGCCCAAGATCATCCGTTGGGCTTAAGAACATATAAATCATCACGTGGTACAAGTCCGCTTGGGAACCAGAGCACCACTTGATTATAATAAGCAGCGACAGGTATCCAAATAAGGAGCCAAGGAACAGGATCTGCGGAACAAACTGATACCTGGAAAGGTTGAGTTACTTGATCGTTTCGGTAATGCAGTATGGAAATGAATGGCACACTTACCAGATATCAAGTGGCTCGTTAAAGTAGCTGGCGTTGTAATAGCTCAAAGCCAGACCCAAGTTCATATGCACAACACCGAGAAGAATGGACATCTTCATCTTCACGGAGTTCAAAAATGGTAGTTCCGATCTAGAGCCATGCCATACGGGATCGAATCCAAACGGATATGTATAGCCAGGTCCTTTTATCAAACCCGCTGTACGTGAGTCCCTACGCAACAATTCAGTTAATCCAAAAACACAAAACCTTTACCAAATGCAAATAGAGACTTACTTGCAAGAAGGATCCCTGCAAACGTACGCAGACTCTCCAAATATTCGAAACGGCACCGAGAAAAACTCGTTGTAGATAAACCCCGTATATATCGAGAAGATCGACATCAGCAAGATCACATATCTGCCTCCAAACGCCATTCCCATTATGTCGCCCAATTTCTGTATGCACCATGCTGGAAGGGATCAATGCGAATGATAAATTTTACTAGCAGTGAAAACTTTCAAAGTTCTCCCAGCTTTACTAGTAAATGAAAACAAAGCGTCAAGGTACCTGGCTGCCAAGTTTCCCTTCATTCAGAATGAGGTAAAGCGTTGCCAAGAGAAGAACAATCCCGTGCCCCCAATCCCCAAACATCACAGCGAAAAGAAACGGAAAAGTAACTATTGTATACACAGCAGGATTTGCTTCCTTGTATCTCGCCACCCTACACTGACAGTTAACACAGTAAGAACGAAACGTGAAAGCCAGAAAGAGCTTGCTGTTACCCATAAGCATCGACGATTCCTTGGAAAGCCCCTGTAATTTTGTTAGTCTTGAAGAATGTTGGCGGTAAATCCTTTGTTCTAATCTCCTGAAAAATGGTGCCGACTTGTGAGTTGCTGTCGACTGTTGCGCGCATTAATGCTTCTTGAACCTGCTTTTCACATATAAAGTCAGCTTATAAAGCCCACAAGTTCAACATACCTGAGTTTTATTCTCGGTTGGACACCATGCTTCAGCTACTAAACACTTTCTAGTAACGTCCATGTTAAACTTATTCATGATATGATACACAGCCTTCTCTCTTTGAACCTACCACAGAAAACAAATTAGAGAAGCAAATTGAGATGGACGAACCTCACCATCAAAATCCAAAAGTCTAGTTGGTAGCTAATCCCTGCTAAAACTGTATCGCGATGACTGGTACCCGCATCCAATGTGGACTTCAGCTCAGACAATCTTCCTGTGACCTGTAAGACACTCCCTCGTTACATTCACAAACACCAAAAACTGGAAAAGGATACACCTCCGATCTCATTTGTCTCTGTAAACTTGGCTCCTCGGGATAAGGATAGCGGCTAGCACCAAATGCATCGCAGATTTTAACGATCTTAGCCTGTGTTCTTTCTCCAGAAAAGAACACGACGAACACAGACTTTTCAACCTGTAGATGAATACTATCTTTAACACCGAGTAGAAAAAAGTTTTCCGTTACCTTCTCACCGGTTGCAGGATCGGTGACAGGCCTTTCGACGACTGACGACTTGAAGACCATGTTGCCTCTGGTTGCTCGGAACAAAATGCGTTCGAACTGTATAGTCTTAAGTTTGGGTATCAATCCAGTTACGTATCCAAGCTGCCCTTTGGTCGGATCGGTTTGCATCTCTTGCTCTATAAGGAGGAGGGGACTATCCATAGACCCCTCGAAATCGTCGTACTCCCGTTGTGCAAATGCTGCCTCTGCACGTCCGGAGGTAAAAAATCTACCAGCCTTGTGAAATGAAACAAGCATAAGAAACGAACTGTTTCCAAAGTGCCAGCAAAGTTACTACCTTCAACAAAACCAGTTGAAACTCTGTCAGCTCCGCATGACTCCGAAATAGCCTCGCGCTGTTTGATGCTATTTCCTTGAGCTCAGTTTCATACTCTGAAAGTTTCACCTGCATGAAAACAGCAAGAATGATAAAAGTCGTAGAAAATGCAGCTGGAAAGCTTACCTCCAATTCATCCAGATCGACGTCATTCTCGATCGTTGACCTTGCCGCTATTAGAATGCCTGCGCTCTCTATTTGACTCTTGAAATATCTGAGCTGCCGACCCATTTCACCGCATCGTTTTACCTGGAGAGCTTTCAATGAGCTCCAAAATCTCTCCTTGCTACACACAGAAAAAAATCTATAGTACCTGGTTTGCGTAGATCCGTTGAGTGGGACTTTTTCCAGGATTTAACTGCGAAGAAGAAAAGATCGAATACTAGATCGAGGAAAACGAAATCTGTTCACTCACATCGCGGAATTGGAGCATGCCGAGCTGCCCGAGGTAGGCAACAGTGTCGTGCGCCGATTCTACTGGAATCACCATCCGGACGAGCGACATATCCTCCGATCGCAGCAGAAACAGGGGCGGCATTCCCGTCCACGACGCCGAGACGGAGCGCGCCATATCGATCACGGATCCGCGCCGCTGCTCCATTTAGCGCGCCTCCAGCGGCATCAGCGCGGCCGATCGGGATTGCGCGAGACACGATCCCCGAGCCCTAATCCCTCCATCGCCCAAACCCTAGATTCAACGAACCCAACGAGATTCCCGCCGGAGCTTCCTTGTCCGTTAGATCGGCGCCACAGTACGGCCGGAGCGTACGGCGCTACTTTTAAACCACTGAAAGTAGACGTTGCAATGGCCCGCTAAGATCGACGGTCCGTGTCCGACCTCTCTAGCATTTTTCTAGGGCTCTTGGGCGCCACGCGCAGAGATTTCGCGGCGAAGGGGCGAGCTATGAAGCGGTCGCAGTACAAGGGGACTCCACATCCAAAGAAGCGCAATCCTCTCGATGTCATCACCAACAAGCAGCCGGATCCGGGAGGCAAGAAATCGTCCAGCCCTTTGAGGCGGCTCCATGTCGTCCACAGCTCCGTGGCTCGGCTGATCGAGAGGGTAAGCAAGAATTCCCCCATTCCATTCAGTCTTGGAGCTCGAAATTTCTGGCAGATCGACTCGCTGGTTACTGGAATCCACAAGAAGAAGCTCTCCGAGAAGCTGTCCGTGGAGGAGATCGATAATTTCACGCGAGCGATGTCTAGCGTCGAGGACACGCTCCAGGTACGCAAATTCCCCAAGAAAAAGAAGAAAATTTCACAAGGTTTCTCTTTAAATGTAGGACTGGCACCGATTTTTCTTGGAGGTGGCAAAGCGTCCAGAGAGAACCGTGGAGAGTAGACTCGGCCGAGAAGACGTGACCAACGACGATCTCATTCCCATCGTTCCCACCGTCGAGAAAATGCTCGGCCTGAGCGATTCGCCGCTGGTTCCCGGAGCTCGAGATGATTCCAGGAAAGTTTTGCACTTCACCCCCGAGCTCTCGTCCGCGAGCAAGCGAAACCCGAGCTCTTCCAACTTGAAGAAGGTCCGTTTTGGATCTCAAGCAGCGACGCCATCCACTTCCAACAGCACCAAGCGAGTCTCGTTCGCGAACACCCCCGAGACAATCACTCCGGCCATGCCTTCGCCACCCCGATCAGTCCGTCTTCGTCGACCAAGTGTGAGCAGCTCCTCGTCCTGCCTATCGACGCCATCGTTTCTTCTTCGATCGGCCCAGAGTCCATCGTCGGTGGAGCTCGCAACGCCCCAGCCGGCGGACATTCTCAACAAGTATCCCCGACTCTTCTCCAATGCGTCCAGGTCTTCGTCCACAACTCTCTCTCCTCCGAAGACGTGCAAGCTTCTGCGGCCCCCGGAAAGCTCCAGCGATCGAGAGATCCACTCTCCAATCGCCCTTCCTCCACTCAGTCCCTTTCGAACTTCAGGTACGCTTATAGCTCGCTCGGTTTGATACAAGTTCTTCCTTTGCAGGCCTCGTTCTTTGTTCCCCTTCACTCGGGGAGAGCCCTGTCTCGGATCCAGGAAGCATGGACGTGACTTCCAAGCTTTCAGCCATGAGCTTGTAGAATCTGTAGTTCCTGTCCTTACGACGTTCTGTGTAAGTTTCTCTGGTTGGTATTATAACCTTTTACACTTCCACCAGTCTTGGATCTTAAGTCGTTTGGCTCTGTGCATTGCTAGCTTCATCGCCGGAACTTTCTTGTGGATCTGGCTCCACAGCATGTTGACAGCATCGTCCCTTTGAGAGGGGTGTTGATACTCAAAGTGCCTGGTGACTTGCTTGAGCCGCCTCCACATTTTCATCCACCTTCTCTTCGAGAACTTTTCCAGGGCCCCGAGGAGGAATCCCGGCCTGACCGCCTCGTCCACCGAGAAGAAGAGGCTAAACTCGGAGTAGTCGAGCTCGTCCTCGAATGGTAACTCTATTTTGTCGCTGACGATCACAGGGACGCAGTGACTTACAATCGCATCAAAGAGCCTGCACGAGGAAGGCGTGTCGCCGGCTGGGTGCAAACAAAACCTGGAGCTCCGCATGCCTTGCATGGCCTGCGCAAACAAAAGCAAAGCAAAGTAAGAGTTCCTCCTTCCTTCCAGCTTATTGAATGAAATCTCACGAGATTTTCTTCTTACTTGTTCTACAGTGAAGTTCGTGGCGATTCCTTCCTCGAAGTGGACGCGCGGCTGGTTCTCCAGAATGGCCGCCAGCTGAGTCCTCACGACACCATCCTGACCAAAAGGAGGAAAGAATCATATTCTAAGCGGGCGCTGCGACAAAAGGAAGAAATTCACTCACATCCTTGCGCTTGACTCGTCCTTGGAAGAAGAGCAGCGTTGTTCTCTCCTCGAATGGATCGCTCCCATCATCGCCATTGTAAGTCGGGACCATATGGCTGTAAGGCGCCACCACGTCCTTGTGAAGCGCCGCGACACCCTTGGGAAATCGCCCAAAGTCCGCCACCACCAAGAGCGACGAGTTGAGGCGGTCTTTGAGGAACCGGAACGCGTTTGGGTGGTGGAGTACGAGTACGTGATCTCGGCCCCCAGACCTCTGGTACCACGGTGATTTGCTGAGATACTCGATCATCCCCACCTGTGAATCAAACCATCGCTCGATCAATCGCTCTAGAGAAATCCCAAAAACTTTGGGCGAAGAAAACCACTGAGAAGTTCCAAAACTCTAAGAAGTTCTAAAGCTTTTGGTAGATCGGTCAAGATAGATCGGTCAAGACAAGGAAGGGAAGAAAAATCCAAAGCGCGAGAGATCTTACCTGTAACTTCTTGTCGTGCTCGGTCTCTGGATCCCTCATGCTCACCCCAAACACATTGAAGCTCAGCGACGCGAAATATGGCACGAAGAACACATCCGCCTCGCCGGGATCGCTCACTCGCTGCGCGGCTCGGAATTCTCGCCCCCCCTCGTCGAGCAAATCCAGCGTCATCCAGTACTCGACGCTGTGCTGCTTCTTCAATCCCTGGGTGTGCGGCCCGGGGAGATTGCTGAGATTCTTCCACGGGATCTCTTGCGCCGGGCCATCCCTGTCGAAGAGCCCAAAATTGTACTTCCTGGGGAGCTCGTACATGAAAACCTTGAGCTTGGCGTTCTTGCCGCTCGTCCTGGAGATCCCCAGCCTAGACTCGGAGCGTATGCTCTTGGCGATCCTGCCTAGCGTGATCTGGATCGGGAGCGAGCCGTAGAGCGCCGTGAGGAGGAGGCAGATTATCGCGACGCACAGCGTGATCAATCGGTGCTGGCTCACCATAAATGCGCTCTTCATGGATGGATCGATCGAAATATGGCGTCCTACATCTAGAAGGAAGAATCAAGGAGGAGGAGGAGGAGAAGGAGGAGGAAGAGGAATCTTGTGTTGCGATGGCGCCTAGCATCTGAATTCCCGAGCCTTTGTATGAACCATTACTGTCGCGGATGCCTCCATTCTTCGCTTTTTCCCGGCGATCGCCTCGATCGGGAGCTAAGTTGCTAAATCGATCGATCGATCTCGCGGAGTGCTATTCATCCACGAGCAGCCATAGCCCCATCTACCACTCACCGTCGATCACAGCTCATCTCGACGGTGCCAGCTCTGCCACGCGTTTAAACTGTAACAGAGATTAAATCTCGTGACAAGACAGTAGAATGTGACCTTCCCAACGCAGTAAAAACTTTAAAACACTCGATTCGATCAAGGAAAAACAGAGAACAATTTTCATTCCAGGAAGAACTCAAGCTACATGGTTTTTTTTTCTTGTCAAAATTTCGATCGCCTCTCTCGCGGATCCATTTTTCCTAGATTGAGAACTTCCTGGAGCTCGATTTCACTCTACCGGTACTGGAAGAACACGAAAGGAGTAAAGATTTCAGTCCCGGCAAGAGCAAAACGAGAGAGAAATTCGCCACGCACCTTGATGAAGCCAATGTCCTTGGCGTAAGTCTTGAAGCACTGTCTGCAGCACATTATCCCGTATTTGCGAATGAGGCCGTGGCCATTCCCACAGACCCGGCTGGAAATCCAGGGCAAAACATCGATCAAATTTCTTCGCGCTAGAGAAGAAGAAGAAGACCGAGAGAATCCTTACCACTGCCTAGATCCAGGTCCATACTTCTTCGGATGCGAGTTCCACACAGCGGTGTGCCCCATGGCGCCGAGATTTCTCCTCCAAACCCTACTGACAAGCCCTAAATGCCGAAGCCGTCAAGAGCCCTAAAATCATACTAACAAACGAACGACTGCGATTGGTTTAGATCAGCGGCCGAGATTGGTTTTAGATTCAACGGCTGCGATTGAAGCAAAATCTAAACTTTACACTCGAGAGTTTTACAAAAACTTTGCGCTGCTGTGCTCGTTGCCGAAGCTCAGTAGCTGCAATTTGGGGAGATTTAGAGCGTGGTAGCCGTCCATGAAAGCTGGAGCGAGAGTGAATGGCGGCAGCACCGGGAATCCATGGAGCTCTTTGCCGCGATTTTTGTCCCTGGATTTTTTCTTGCCGGTTAGCGTCGCTGCGATCGCTGGCTGGGTGGTGTTCATCCTTTCCACAAAGTAGGAGAACACCCCAAACGTTGCGCAGCCTTGCAAGAGCGCTGCTGGATTCCCTGGCGATGGAGCAAAGAAGTTTTAAGTTCTATAAGATCTATGTTTGATAGAAATGCGAACCTGGAGCGCTGAGAGCAATGCCGGTGGCACAACCAGCGATTCCAGCATTGATCGCTGCAAGAAAGTTTAGAACAAAAATTCCGAGAAAAGAGCAGCATACCATCTTTCTTTCCACGGATTTGGATCAGGAGAGTCGTCACAAATCCATGTATGCCGGATAGAATCGCGAAGGTCTGGAGAAACGAGAAGCATTGGAATTGTCTTCGGGAAAGAGAAGAGTTTATGGTACCTTGGCGGATGAAGCACCAGAGTGGAGAGCTCCCTTGAAACCCTTCTTCTGGAACAGCCCAGTGCCTGCCACAAGACATCCTCCATCGCTCACATTCTCGAGCAAGCTGGAAAGAAACCGCAAGAACATACCAAAACCAAAGACGCTGCCCATGACGGCGCCCGACATCGCATCGCCCACCCCCTTGATCACGCAAGAGTAAGCTGGGAGATTCGTGCTCTCCGGGACGAAATGATCTGGAAGAACGGCAGCGCTGCTCTTGGAATCGTCTCCATCGCCATCGCCGCGCCCGGCAGCGCCATCTGTGGAGGAAGCCATCGCCAATAAAAATTGGGGTTGTGAGGAGACCGTAGATTAGGAATATGTTACGTGCCGCTGGGAGATATTCGTTAGGGCTGAAACCATTTGAAACTTGTAAGATCCAACGGCCCTGTTTAAAAATTTGCTGATGGCTGGGATTCGCCCGGATCGAGCAAGTTCATCCAAATAGTTCCGCGCTTTGGTTTTAGCGTTGGTCGGCTCGCATAGAAACATTGCCACACGCTTTCGTGGCAGAGTACTTAAAACCAGTGACGAAGAACTCGAAATTCCCCGAGGAGAAGAAGAAAATCTCAGATTTGTTTGAGCAGCAGCCATGGCGATGACGATTTCTTATGTTGTGGGCGCTTTGCTTTTGCTTGTTCTTGGATCCTCAGCTTCACTTCAAGGTAAGAAATCGCTTTGTAGAAATGGAAGGTGGATAGAAACGTTTGATCTTTGCAGATAATTCGACGGTTCCACCGCAAGCCAAGAGAAAGATCTTCGCAGAGTACCTTGGAGCCGAGGGATACTCTGTGACATTCGCCAAGGTTCCAATCGATGCGGCTATAGATTTCTACTTCATCCTCAGCTTCGCCGTCGATGCCGACGAAAATGGCAAGCCGCGAAACGGGATCTTCAACCAGGTGTGGTCCGAAGATCTCACTCCAGAGTCTGTCCGGGAGATCAAATCCTCGCGAAGCAACGTCAAAGTTCTTATGAGTTTGGGGGGCTGGAGTGTCTATACCCGGGCCGGGAAAGATAAAATCCTCTTCTGGTATGATCCGAAAGATCCGGAAGCCTGGATCAAAAATGCCCACAACTCCATCGCCAAGATCGTCCGTACTTACTCGCTTGATGGGATCGACATCGATTATGAGAGCTTCCACAGCGAGAACACCACCTTCGCGTATTGCATTGGCGAGCTTATCACCAGGCTCAAAGCTGACAAGATCATCACCATCGCCACCATCGCACCATTCGAGAACATCGATCCGCAGTACATCAAACTCTTCCAGAGCTACAACTCCACGATCGATTATGTCAACTATCAGTTCTATACGACCAGGAATGCGCCCTCGGTGGACAAGTTCGTGGCCAACTACAACCGGAAAGCGGAGATCTTCGGCGTGGACAAGACGCTGGTGAGTCTCCAGGTGCGCGATCGAGGCATCCAGGGGGATGATTTCTTTGCGGGAGTTCACAGGATCATCAATGAAACGAGTGGAAGATTGCCCGGGATCATGATGTGGAGCCTCGACATGTCTGTGCATTACAAGACCAAGTTTCTATATGAAACCAACGGTCAAGAAATTTTACTAGGCTTTTAGATCGAATATACGAAACTTTCTTTTTTTGTAAATAAGAATATTCCGTCTAGATTTAGAATATACCGCTCTATTCGCTCAGCATATTCTGTTTAGAATATACCGGTATTTTGGAAATTAGGGCGGGCTTGTCTTTGATGCTCTACCGGAGGATCGCTTGGCGCAACCATTGCTGTTTTCCTGGCGATGGAGATCGCATCTTGCAAGAGGAGCGCAAGTGGCTCGATCTCTTCCGGAATCCAGGAGTGTGGCGGGACAACAGAGCTAAGAAAGATGTAAGACCTGTTCTTCTTGCTCCATCGCAATGCCTAGTTTTTAGTGGCAAAATCTTCCAGATTTCAAGAATGTGGAGACTGGGGAGAGTTTGTGGATTGGATCGCTCTACTGCCCTCGATGGGTTCAATCCAGGCTCGGCGAAAACTCCCTGGCACAGCACAGTTTCGCGACCACGACGAGTTTTAGCTCTCAAGAACAGGAAGAACGTCGCATTTCCAGGTTGCTATCCTCGCTAAGATCTTGTAGCGCTTCCAGGGATGTAGTGACTGGTAAGAAGCTCCATTTGGAGGCGATCGAGAGTGGGCTTGCCTCCAACGCTTACGTCGCCAGCAGCTTGATCAGTATGTACTCCAAGTGTGGGAGTTTGGATGACGCTCGAGAAGTGTTTGAAGGGACGGGAACGAGTTCTTCTCTTCGTAGCACAGCTTGTTGGAACGCTTTGCTACTCGGCTATGCCACTCACGGAGAGGAAAAAATGGTTTTGGAGCTCTTCGGCAGTATGCTCGATCAGCAAGGCTGCGTTTCAGATTCTCGGACTTTTCTCGCGGTGATCATGGCTTTGGCTAGTTCGGCAAGCAAAGAGCAAGGCCTGGAAGTCGACGATAAGTTTGTCAAGCTCGGTTGCCTGGAAAAAGGGATGGAAATACACTCAAAGTTCTTGAGAAGCAGCAACTGCGATGAAGACGACGACGACGACATCTTTCTCGAGAACAGCCTGGTCGACTTCTATGCCAAGTGTGGAAGTTTACGGGACTCGAGAGCGGTGTTTGACAGGATGAAGCAGCACTCAGTGGTCTCCTGGACGTCGCTCATACTTGGCTGTGTGGAAAATGGAGAGGCCGAGCTCGGGCTAGATCTGTTTGCGAGAATGGTAGCTCTCAGAGGCTGTGATCCTGATGCCAGAGCATTTGTCGCGGCGATCACGGCAGCTACGAGTTTAGCAGCGAGAGAAGAATCGGATAAAAAGCTCCAGTGGCTCGAGCGAGGAAGATCGCTCCACAGCGAGGTAGCCAAGAACTTACACGACTCAAACATCTACGTAGCAAACGCTATGATCGGTATGTACTCCACTTGTGGAAGCTTGATGGATGCTAAGGCAGTGTTTGACAGCATGAACCAGCGAGACGCCGTGTCCTGGACGAGTATGATCCTGGGCTACACGGAAAACGGCGAAAGCGAGCGCGCTTTGGAGCTCTACTCGCAAATGGAGTGCTCGCGAGACGCTCGAACTTACGCCGCTGCATCGATGGCCTGCACAAGCTTGGCTGCCGACGAAGATGGCGTTGGAGTTTTTGGAAAGATCGTCAAAGCCAAGTGCCTGGAAAGAGGTATGGAGATTCACTCTCAAGTTGCAAGCAGTGGATTCGAGCGTGATGGTTTTGTAGCCGGTGCTTTGATGGATATGTACGCAAAGTGTGGGAGCATGGTTGATGCTCGAGCGGTGTTTGACAGGATGGTAAGGCATAGCTTGATCTCGTGGAACTCACTGCTACTTGGCTACGCAGGAAATGGAGAAGCCGAGCTCGCACTGGAGCTCTTTGCAGCCCTCCAAGAGCTGCTAGAGTTAAATCCAATCCCCGGAAGAACACTTGGAGCTGCGCTGGTAGCTTGCGGGAAGCTAGCATCGCTCGAGACCGGCAGAGAAATCCACGCACGGATTTGCAGGCAGGGCCTCGAGAGTGACAAGTTCCTCGCAAACTCGCTGGTGGATTTCTACGCGAAGTCCGGGAACTTGGCCGCTGCTCAGGAAGTTTTCGACTCGATCATCACTAACAGCAGCGGCGGCAGTAGCTCTGTCAAGATTTGGAGCGCTTTGATCGCTGGCTATGCGTCACAGGGATTCACAGATCGTGTTGTGGAGAATTTGGAGAGGATGCGTGAGAGTGGAGTGGAGCCAGACGGTGTTACGTTGCTCTCGGTTCTCACAGCGTGTAGCCATGCGGGCGAGGTGGCCAGTGGAAGGAAATATTTCCAGGAAATGGTGGCGAGGTATGGGATCAAGGCTGGGAGAGAGCACTACCATTGTATGGTGGATATGCTGGGGAGGGCGAATGAGCTGGATGCTGCCGTGGCAATGGTGAAGTCTATGCCATTGGAGCCAACCGTGGTTACGTGGACTTCTCTTTTGGCTGCATGTCACAAGTGGCAGAATGTGGAAATTGGGAGGTTTGCTTTTGAATCTCTGCTGAGGGTAGATGAGAAGAAAGCTACAAGCTACATTCTCATGGCAAATATATTCACTAAAGTAGAGGGTAGTTTAGGGTTAAACATATTAAATTAACCCTTTTAGAATGGCCTTCTGCTTTCTTGCTGCAGATTGTGGTCCTCTTCCCTAGTGCTCTTTCCAGGCATTTTTTTCTCAAAAGGATTGATTGTGGCAGCGCGATCAATTTCACGGATTCTCGAGGCAAAGTGTGGGTGAAAAATGCCCACCAACATCCTTTTGTCAGGTGAGTATCAAATATGGTTTATCTGGATTTGATCAGAAGTGATGCTTAAGCTTCTGTGATTTATACAATTTGTGTGACTTTGGTTTATTTTTTTCTTCTTTTCCACATTTTGTGTTATTTGTTTTGTATTTCTTCAGATAATCTCTTTGGCTGTTTTGATCTCATCACTACCAGAGCTGCCTTGGAGCATGGCTATTTCAAGAGGCAAGAGTTTTCTCTTGAGAAAATCATCTACATTGCGACTGGAGTTTTCAATTTAATTGTCATTTTGTTTTATCTCTTTAATTAGATGCTTATGTTTGAATCTAATTCTGATCTTTTGGCAAACTTGAGTAGCTTTTAATAAACTCTCGCAAGCTTAATAGAGTAGGCTAGGGGGTGGAATTTAACCATGTCATGGCATAGAAGGCAAGGCTCATCTTTAATTTTGCCCTGTCTTTGGTTCATAATAGGGTTAGTTTAAAAAGCAAATGGAGCAACCTGTTAAATGAGCATTTCAGGGACTACTCCAAACACTTAATCAAACATCAGCAAACTGATGTCTGGCAATTCATGATTGTTATAAATCATTCAATCCAACGGTTGAGTCTGGCAAACAAAGCCAAATTTGCCAAGGATGCTACAAGGAGTAGAAGAGGAGACTTTGAAAATGGTTGTAGCTCACTAGCAAAAGTGGCAATTCATGAACTCAATGAGTGAGCAACAGCACAGCCAACAAAGCAAGCAAGTAGCATGCAGATATATAATAATTGTTATAAATCATTCAATCCAACGGTTTTTTATTGTTCAATGCAATTCTTAAAATTTGAGTTAATCCAATGGTGTGCAGTGCCACAAATCACCCACTAATCCTTAATAATTCAATTTGCAATTCATGATTCATGTAAATTAAGTTCAATGTTAGAACTCACTCCAAATTAAAAAATTCACATTTCCTATCCTCTTGTTTCTCTAGTGTGTAGTGTTGCTACTGCAAATCAGCAGAGCTTGGCCCAGGAGCTCCCTCCATTGTTTAGATAACTCTGTCATCTCCAATCACATAGTTAGTGTAATGTCCACCTTTTTAGGGCTTGTTATTAGGTTTTTGGCTCCTACTTCCAGGCATTTGTGAGTTTTCCATCAAAACGAGCTCGTTTCTTCTATCAAATTTCACAAGAGCAAGAGCCATTAGTCTGGAAGCAATGCAAGCCATACGGATCCCGCACACTTATTTCCCTCTGTATCCTTCTAGACACAAACTTGGCAAAAGCATGGCAATCGTGGCAAGCCCTTAGATTCTTGACGATCCTTATCAATTGCCCAGCAGGCGTGGACACAATCCCAAATCCAATCGCCACCTTCTCGCTGTGGCAGCAGCCAAGAATGTGAGCCCTGGCATTCTCGTCCTTGCAAATCCCCCCTTCCTCGACGGCTAGCGAGCTCAATCGCTGGAGCTCGCCACGGATCTTGTCCAGCCGAGGGCCTTGCAGACGATCATCATCCTCCCCAAACTCGTGCACCCTGTTCTTCACCTCGATCCAGCTCCGCCCGCCGGGCTCCCTCCTCGCATTCCTCGATTCCACAGCCTTCCTGACCCTGGCAGCATCCTCCCACCGCCCCGCCGCTCCATACAGCTCCGCGAGCATCGCCATGGACGCCGCAAAGCTCCCGGGATCGAGCTGCTGTGCTCGATTCGCAGCACGAATCCCCCGCTCCAGATCGCCGCGCCGATTGCAAGCCGCCAGCAGCGCCATCCAGATCGCGCCGCTGGCCTTGCACGGCATTCCCTGGATCAAACCCTCGGCCTCCTCGAGCTTCCCCGCCCGCCCTAGAACCTCCACCATGCAACCGTAGTGTTCCGCCGAGGCGGACACCGGATATACCCTCCCCAGGGCGTCGAATATCCGCCGCCCCTCCTCCACGCGGCGGCCACCACACGCCAGCAAGGCACTCGCCAGCGTCACCTCGTCGGGGGCCACGCCCGCGCATTCCATCCTCCGGAAGAGATCCAGCGCCTCATCGCCTCGCCCATTCTGGGCCAGGGAAGAGATCATGAGCGTCCACGCCACCACGCCCCTCTGCCCCATCGCCTCGAACATTCCCCGAGCGGAATCCAGCTGGCCACAGCGGCCATACAGCCCGACCAGCGCGGTGGCCACCACCACGTCCGACTCTAGCGCGGTCCCACGAATCCGGCGGTGTACGGAGATTCCGTACGATAGAGCGCCAAGCCTCTCGCAAGCGTTGAGGACGCTGCCGTACGTCACCTCGTCCGGCCGGACCCCCTCGAGCTCCATTCTCTGGAACAATTCCAGCGATTCCTTGCCGTACCCCTGGCGAGAGAGCGCGGAGATCATGGCGTTGTACGACACCGTGTCCTTGTTCTTGATCGCGGAGAACACCCGGATCGCCTCTTGCAAGCTCGAGCACTTGCTATACATGTCGAGCAGCGCGGTCTGGGCGATGAGATTGGAGTCGAGATTTCTCGCCGCCAAGCTCTCGTGGATGATCCGGCCGGCGTGGAGCGATCGCGAGCTCGAGCAAGCGGCGAGCGCGTTGACGAACGTCACCACATTTGGAGGCTCGCCGTCGAGATCCATGGCCGCCAGGAGCTTGATCGCCTCTGCGCTGTGCCCGTTCTGGGCGTAGGCCGTGATCATGATTGTCCACGAGAAGACATTCTTCCGCGATATCCGGTCGAATGTCTGTCGGGCCTGTCCGACGGCGCCGCATTTGCCGTACATCTCGACGAGCATGTTGAGGAGGTATCTGTCCAGCGTTTGCTTCGTCTTGATCATGTGATCCAAGACGCGGGATCCCAGATCGAGGGATTTGGAGTTTCCGCACCACTGGAGGAGCGATCCATACGCCGCCGAGTCGAACTTCACGTCCTGTTGCTCGAGCTCCCGGATGATTTGCTCGAGTCGCTTGGAACCGCTATGGTGGTCACTCGATTCCCTGCTGGAACTTTGCTCCTGTTCTTGATCTTCCACCACCGGTGATCTCGTCGTGTTCTTGGGAGGTTTTTGGAGGACGAGGGCTTGATCTTGTGGTTCCTCTCGACTGCGGTGACGATCGCGAGCTCTAGCTTTGGCTGCCTGTGCGGCCTCGGCCTCTTCTCGATCCTCCTCGTCAACCATTCGAGCGAGCTCTTGGTAGTCGGCTTCCTCCTCGGAATTCATGACGAGATCATCGTCGTCTTCGTCGCTACATTCTTCTTCGTCGTGATCTTCTTCTATTTCTATGATCCCTTGGTCGTCTTCTTCTTCCTCTTGCGTACCTCCTCCTTCTTCCTCTTCGTGAAACTCTTCTCTTTTGTGATGCTTTACCCTTCCCTGCATTTGCCTTTGATCCTTTGCCTGTCTCCCTCGCCTAGATCTATGCTGCTCCTCCTCTTCTTCCTCCTCTTCATCTTCTTCATCGCTTCCATCGCCAGAGAATTGCGCCTCTTCGGGAAGCTCGAATGGAGCCACCACTTCCAGCGGCTTCCAGCGGTTCCTGAGCGATGGATAGATCACGGGCACGGGCTCGCTCACCTTGAAAACGATCGGCGCCCTCGCCTGCGTGCTCACTCGCCTCGCGCCGCTGCGAAACAAGAGGCGCCATCGCGAGGAGAGGCGCATTTGTTTCTTAGGGTTTAGGGTTCTTGGGCACCGATGGCCAGGGCGTGCGTGGGCGCCCTCAAGCCGCTACTCCAGCGATCATCCGCGATCACGGGCAGATCCGGCTGCGCTGATCCACCGGCATTGCGATTCTCGTGCCTGTGGGTGCGGCATTTGTTCCGCGACAAGCGAAGAAACAAATACGTGGGTATGTCTTGCTGGTGATCTCTTGGGCATTCTTGTGGAGACTTTCACTGGCAGATCCTTTTAGAGTTCCAACACTCTACACTGGAGTGACCAAGCTCGAGGCCAACGATCCGGTGATCAAGCCCCGGCCGCCGCCAAGGCCGCGTAGAAATCTCAACAGGCAGTGGCGTGGATTGCAAAAGACGAGATATGTCAATGTAAGCTCGCTAGATTTCTCTTCCGTGAATTTGATCGTTGCCCGCGCTCTTCCAGGCCGATCGAAAGAAGTTTATCGAGTTCTACCGGGCTCGCACTGCTCGCCGCGAGGTTTTGCGAGTGAAGCGGTGGAGAGAGAACGCCGCGCGATTGAAGGTGTGGAAGGCCGAGGCGCGGGAAGTCTACGCGACCAAGTAAGAGATCTTCTCGATCGTGGTGTTTCTCACTTGGTTTTCTCTCCAGGAAAATCACCGCCATTCGAGGCTTGCCAGAACTCTTGCTCGAGAAACACGAGCGTACTCCCAGGGGCCAAAAGAAAGCCAGACAATAGCCCTGTACAGTCCTAGTCAATGGTCAAGTTGGTTAGGAATATCCCAGTGAACGTTGCCCTAAGGGTATATTCGTCCCATCGGTCGGAGATCTTGTTCTAGGGTTTGGAGGAGGGAAGCGCGGGCGATGAAGCCATTCCCAGTGTATGTGGCGGGCGATGTCGAGGATCAGGGCGTGGGCGGCAGCGTCGCGATGGACATGGACATCGACGGCGACGGCATCGAGATGCTGGGCGACGCCATCGTCGACAACAAGCCCTGCGATCTCGACTTCTTCAACAGCTTCGAGGATGATTTTGACGACACCGACATCGCGTAAGCGAGGGCAAGGAAACGTAGCCGCTAGCTAGTAGAAATTCACCGCTCGACTCGATCAGATCGATCTCCTCTGATGTAGAAAATCTCTTTTCCTTGAATGGCTGATTGATCATTCATCCTCATTGTTTCTCGAGTTCTTGCGATCTCTTCGACTATCAGCGCACAAGATTTCTTCAAGAGGTGAGTGATCCAAGTTCTTCTGATAAGCTGGTCTCTAACTCGTGAAACTCTTGCCGTGATCCAGCGCCAGCGTACATGTGAGACATGGTGATATACGATGCCGAGTTCTTCCAATCCAACTCGAGAGCGCTCTGAGCGATGCGAATCCCTCGCTCGACATCGCCGTGGACGTGACAAGCTCCCAGCAAAACAGCGTGAGCCAAAGCGCAAGGATTCTTTCGCATCACTTGCTCGGCCTCTTCCAGCCAGCCTGCTCGTCCCAGCAAATCGACCATCCCTCCAAAGTGGTCCTCGCTCGCCGGGATGCTGTAGTCCTCCACCATGGACACAAAGTAGAAGACGCCATCTTTCACGACTCCTCGCCGGCTGCAAGCCGCGACGAGCGTGCTGAAAGTTAGAGCGTCGGGCTTGGTTCCCTGGAGCTGCATCTCGCGGAAGAGATCCAGGGCCTCGTTCTCTCGGCCGTGCTGAGCACACGCAGCGATCAAGTTCGACCAGGTAACGAGGTTCCGCGAGTGAGATCTCCAGAACACTGACTTTGCGTCGTGCAGGCTTCCACACCGAGCATACATGGTGACGAGCGCTGTGGCGACTCCCGGATCTTGTTCCAGGCATGGAGCAGCAGTGGCGACGATGGAGTGGATGGTTTTTCCGAGAGCTAGAGATGGAACGCTGCCGCACGCGTCGATCGCTCCCAGGTACGTTGCTCTGTCCGTAGTCCATCCTTCCAGGTCCATTTGCTTGAAAAACTCTAGTGCTTGTCTTCCACTGCCGTGTTGAGCGTATGTTGCTATCATTGTGTTCCAGGAGACCACATCTCTCTCGGGCATTTTTGCAAACTCGTCCATTGCTTCGTCTAGACTTCCACACTTGCCATACATGTTGATCACGGCATTGCTGAGGTTTGCCTCGTGTATGTTTTCCAGGAGGATCCTGGCGTGGAGTTGTCTCCCTCTCGTCAAATCGTTCAAGCTCGAGCATGCCTCTAGACTTGCGAGGTAAGTGACCGAGTTTGGTCTCACTCCTTCCAGTTCCATTTTCCAAAAGCACTCGAGAGCTTGCTTGCTCTCGCCGTGCTGTGCAAGGCCGGAGATCATGGCGTTCCATGTCACAGCATTGTTCTTCCATTGTATTGCATCAAACGCAGCCTTGGCTTCTTTCAAGCTTCCACACCTCGCGTACGCACTGACCGCGGCATTTTTTGCAGCAATATCTAGCTCCAGCTCGAAGGTAGCGGCGTACCTCCGGGCCTCGGAAACGCTCTGGCAGGCATCAAGCACAGCCAAGTAAGTGATCTTGTCGGGTGTTTTCCCCTCTAGCAGCATTCTTTCGTAGAGTTTCAAGCTCCTCTCGTAACACCCGTTGCTGGCGAACGCAGATAGCATGGAGTTCCATGCAACCACGCTTCTCTCCTTCAAGTTTTCGAAGATGCTCCAAGCGCTGTCGACGCTCCCACACTTCCCATACATGGTGACGAGACAAACTTGCAAGACAGCATCGGAATCAAAGCCGGAGGCAACCATGTGTGCGTGGATTTGCTCCGCTCGCGGTAAGTCCTCTGGACGCAAACAGGAATCCATCACGGCCATGAAAGTTACAGCGTTTGGCTCGCAGTCCATTCTCTTGTAGAGATCGAAGGCCGCTCGAATGAAACCCTGCTGCGCGTAAGCCCAGATCATCACGGTCCACGACACCACATTCCTGGAGCTGCCGAGATTCTCGAAAGCGTCTCTAGCCGCGGCCAAGTCCCCGAGCTTTGCGAATGTGCTCACAAAGGCGGTTCCAAGGGTGGTGTCTAGCTCCCAGCCGAGATGTTTCACCCGGGCGAAGATTTTCTCGCACTGTGCGAGGGTGGTGCATGCTCGCAGGACTGTGACGAAGGTGACTTTGTTCGGCAAAACGCCCTCCAAGTCCATTTTGTGGAAGAGAACAAATGCCTCAAGAAAATGCCCATTGTGGGCAAATGCTGCGATGATAACAGTCCAGGAGTAGACGCTCTTGTCATGGATTTGTTTGAAGACTAGCCATGCTTGTGTAACACTGCCACATCTACTATACATTTCTACCAGAAGATTTGAGAGATAGCTATCAATTGGCCTTGAAGAAGCTATGAGATTGTTGTGGATGCGCTTGCCTCCTTCAAAGTCACGCAGCCTTCCGCACTTTCGAATGTGGGTTGCAACGTCACATGAAGTACACAGCCTCCTCACTCTCATAAACTTCATATAATCAAATCTAAGTACAATGCTTTACTTTTTTACTTCAGAAGCATTAAGGGAAATATATCAAGAATATGATCTGATTTTTGTTGAAATTCTTGTGTTGATAGTATTGATACTCTTGTTACTTTCATTTGCTAGTAGAAAGAATAATATGGTCCAATTTTTCCTATGTTGAAATTTTATAGTGGAATTGGTGACCCAAAGATTTTGTTAATGCTTATGTTCTTGGTACTCGATTTTCTGATTTTATTTAGCAGGCTTAAGCTTGAGCTTGCTTATACCTCATTGGTTTACTTGGTATAGTTTTGGTTAGTGATAAATCTCAAGTGTACAAATTATTATGACCCACCATTTTATATGAATCGAGGTTTTGGTTGCTGATACTGATAACAACGAGCTTATTGATTGGTAATCAGCAAGTTTCAGAATAAGCTATTACTGGAGGCACTAGTAACTTCTTTGGTATCATGGGTGAGATTCAGGTTACACTTGTTGTATTTTATGCTAATGAGTCTACTGCGGTGGTATAGCTAGTTACAAATATTTGCTTTAAGAAACATCACTCTTTGTTTAGATCTTAATAATAAAATGGTAGTTATTATTCCATTCGACAGGTTTTAGTTCGAAGGAGCAACATATATGGCGATGCAGACTTGGGATCTTTCACAAACACTTGTTTTGCAACTTGGGAAGCCAAGCCTTGGTTTCCATGCATCTTGCAAGCTCCTAAAAGTGTTAGCCACTCAAACGATTTGTGACCAAATGGGCTCAAATTAATAAGTTGCGTGGCCTCTTCCAGCCACCCAGCACGAGCAAGAAGATCGATCATGCAACCATAGTGCTCCATTGTTGGCAAAATGGAATGGTCTTCCACCATCGACACGAAAAAATCTCGCCCCTGATAGACGAGTCCCGAGTGGCCGCAAGCAAATAAAATGCTTACAAATGTGATGTCGTTGGGAGGAATACCCTCCAAGTCCATCCTCTGGTTCCATTCCAGCGCAGCACTGCGATGCCCGTTTAAGGCATACGCAGCGATCAACGAAGTCCACGATAAAACATCCCGCAACCTCATCTTTTCAAATACTAGCCTAGCACGGTCAACACTCCCACACTTTCCGTACATGTTCACAAGCGAATTTCCGACAAAGAGATAGGAATCAAAGCCCGTACGAATGATCCGTTCGTGGGTGGACTTTCCTCGGGGAAGATCCAAAAGGTTCGAGCAGGCATCCACAACACTGACAAAGGTAGCATCGTTTGGTCTTACAGAACCATCCAGATCCATCAAATGAAAAACTTGCATCGCATCCTTGCAATGCCCGTTTTGTGCATTTGCTGCAATGAGAGCATTCCAGGACACAAGGTTTCTTTCTGGCAACCTTTCAAACACAGCCTTAGCTTCATGCACTCTCCCGCATTTCCCGTATAAGTTGACGATTGCATTTCCCACAACTTGTGTTTCCATCCCAGCCAAAACAGCGCAGTCGTGAATGGCTTTTCCTTCGTTTAGAGCTCCAGCGCTAGAGCATGCTGTAAGAACTGTGCTGAAAACAAAAGCATCTGGCTTAGTACCATCTAGCTGCATCTTCCTGAAAAGCCCAAGCACCTCCCGCAAATGCCCTTCCTTGGCATAGGCGGTGATCAGCGCTGTCCACGAGAAAACATTTGGATTTGGAAGCAGCTCAAAAACCTCCAAGGCATCTTCCAGGCAGCCACACTTTGCATACATGAAAATCAGATGGTTTTGAATATATCTATTCACTCCACACCCAGAGGAAAGGATGTGCTGGTGGACGAGTTTGCCAGCAGCGGCGGACTTTTGCTCGGTACACTTTTGAAGAAGAGAAGCGTACCTCGCAGGTTGCAAACTTTCGCTGGATTTCTTGAGCTGATTGATATGCGTCTGGAGGCTCAACTCAGTAGCTGCCGGGTTCATGAAAGATCGCAGAGAACTCGTGTGAATCAAAGCATTCTTCCAAGAGACTCCTTGTCAAGAACAACAGTGACTGAAACACCACTGCCCGACCCGGGTGCCAGAGGAAAGAGATAGATCTTGCCGTCATGAAGATCATTCGCTCCAAAGCTCATCCCCACCGGCCTTCCAAACCCAAAGTCACACTCGAAAACCGGTTGCTTGGGCGACTCCACCGCCACCAGAGTGAAGCAAGGCTTGGATCCAAGCACTTGCGATCCTTGCTGAGCTTGTGGACGTCGACGCTGATGGAACTTCTCTTCTGCCTTGTCTGCGTCGAATCTAGTGATCGCATCGTGTAGAAGAGCCGCGGCATGCGACACGGGATTTCTTGCGAGATCGCCGACGGTGGCAGTCGCAACCGAGGACCAGATCGCGTTTCCAAAGTAGAACTTGGAGGGGAGTGACTTGATCCGGCCGCGGCAATCCACAAGAACCATGAAGTTGCAGCTGCTCGATCCTTCCAGCCCCTTGGCCACCACCACTTTCTTCCAGAAGTGAGCGCACACAACCTCGAAAGTTGTGGTGCCTGGTGCTTCACGCTTGAGCTTCTCGATCATATCCTTGTCCATCTTGTAGTGCTTGAGTCCCAGCTCCTGGGATCTCTCGCTGCATTTGCTTGGCTTTCTCGGGACTTCTTTGATGGCTTGAGTTGGATCTCGCTCCTCGTAGCCGAAAGTCACCTGGGGCGCGTGCGCGATCTTCCCTGTTCTTGAGAACTCGGCCCAGGAGTTTAGGAAATGCCAGAAACTTACACCGTCCATGATCTGGTGGCTGCCAGAAACACCAATGCTAAGGCCTCCACATCCGAACTTAGTCACCTTAGGTAGAGTAGAAAGAAGAATTATATATCAGCAAAGACACTAAAGAACTCCAAAGAAAACCTTGCCTGGAGAAAAAGAAGTGGAGTATCTGGTGTCCATGGAAACTCTGGGGAACACTCCACGTCACAGAGGGATTCACAAAATTCGCAAGGCTGGAAATCTCCCAGCTCGCTGAGACGCGAGCTCGTCACGGCTTGGGTGAATCTCACGCCCAAATCTGTGCGATCCAGCTCCAATGCCGGCTCTGAAACTCCATTCCCGCTTCTCAATCGTCCCGCTAATGGGTAGAATGGTAGCAATACCTCGGCCAGGCTTTGCTGGAGCGCCACAGTGAGATCTTCTTGCTCCTCCTCGAAAGATTTGTAGAAGAGTATTCGCTTCTGGTAGGGGACGTACTGCATGATTCGGTCGAAACCTGTGAGCTCAAACCTTTTGGTGGTGGCGCGTGATGGGTGTGATGGCCGAACGAGCTGCGCGGAAACAATCTTTACCGGCTGCATTGATCTGGAAACCTAGAAAACTTAACTGAGCGTTATTGTAACATGAAAAACTATCATGAATTGATTTGAGGTCTCGATCGATCCAGTGCGCGGCGAGCCGCGGAATCTACATGAGGATTGCGATCTCAGTTCGTATGCAACACAGTTGGGTTAGCAGCCGGCTGCATGGGCAGTTTTCTTGAACGTCGACGAATTTTTCACAATCGTTCCCCCTATTGAAACTCTAGGAACTTCAAACATCAGGAACTCAAAATTTAGATTTCATCACAGCTATATTCTAAATATCACCTAGTTTTAATTGTGTTTTAAACTTTTGAATTATATAAAATTAAGCCTATGTTAAGTATTCCCAAGCACAAGTAATTTTGTTGATTGAGTTGGTGTTTATTGATCTTGCAACAACTACTTTGTTTTGTATTGCCTGTCGTCATGCATTGCGATTGTCCGGCATTCAACAGTACGTACCAAAGTTTTTCTTACGTGCGAGAGGGAAGAACTCGACACGGACAATCGCCAAACAGATGGTGCTCTATGAGATGGCAAATCTTGTCCTCTAGGAGCTGCATCGCCGCACCATTGCAAAGCTTTGATCGCAATGAAGGACGATCTGGAAAGCTCCGCCCTTGGAGACCTGGAACAAGCCCTAGGCGCGTGTGCCACAAGCCCTGGGCGCAAGAAATAGAGCACAAGATGGCCTGTGGCATGTATAAAACACATTGTCGACCAATGGGATTGTTTTATTTAAAGCGTAAAGCCACGGACGGTGGTGATCAGCGGCGATCCCGGATTCCTGATTAGGGCTGCGGGAAGGAATGGAGAGGGGGGTGCTGGTGCTGGATCTAGACGACACGCTGATTTGCAGGAAGAACTCCACTATCGTCAAGAGGCCTGGCCTAGAAGCGTTCCTCAGCAAGATGGCGCAAGTATACAAGCTCATAATCTTCAGCGCATCAGACTCAAAGCATGTTAACGATTGTGTGGCCGGGTTTGGGGCATTTGCGCATCTGATCAGCGAGGTATACAGCATCAAGGATTGCACCAGGTGCCGACAGGGATTTGTCAAGGACGTGTCCAAGCTTGCTACGTGCAACATGAAGAGGCTAGTCTGGGTGGATGATGTTCGCCTCAACTTCAGGCTGTGCCCGCACAATGGCATCGAGATCAGGCCATTCAAAGGAGAAGCAGATGATAGGGAGCTTGAGAAGTTGACACCTCTTTTGCTCGAGCTGTCCAAGGTGGAGGACGTGACGCAGTTCCTGTGGAATGGCCAGCCAAAGGTGTCGGAAGCACAAGTGCAGTCTGCCAAGAATCTTGTCAAGGCCAAGGGCAAAAACAAAGCGGTACCGGTACCTCGCAAATGAGAGCGGGTTTGAGAGTATTCTTGACAATGTTCATGCCATTTCTCTTGGAAGAGGGCCTTTTTTTTTTAACGACGCCCTAAATAACAGGGCTTTCAGGGCATGGCGGAAGCGCGCAAACCCGTTTTGGTGCTGGACCTGAACGAGACGCTGGTATGGAAGAAGAACGCGAGCACTATTGTGAACAGGCCTGGGCTGGAGGCGTTCTTGAGCAGGATGGCAATGGCCTACTGCGTTGTCATCTTCAGCGTCTCGGATTCCAGGCACCTGGATCAATCGGTGGCAGGGTTTGGGGCGAGTGCAAAGCTTATAACCGACGTTTACGGCATTGAGGATTGCACCAGGACGAGGGCCGGTTTCATCAAGGATGTGCGCAAGGTAAAGGTCAGGCATGAGTTGAAGCGGCTAGTGTGGGTGGACAATGAGAGGTTCCACTTCAGGCTGTGCCCGCACAATGGCATCGAGATCAAGCCATTCAGAGGAGAAGCAGATGACAAGGAGCTTGAGAGATTGACACCCCTGTTGCTCAAGCTGTCCAAGGTGGAGGATGTTACGCAGTTCCTGTGGAATGGCCAGCCAAAGGTGTCGGAAGCACAAGAGCATTTCGCTGGGAAGAATCCTTGCAAGCCCAATGCCAAGAACAAGAAATGGTTGAGTGGACAAAGCTCGGCTTCTGGATTGGACTGAGGCAGAGTTTTCAAGGTTGTCAAGAAGAAGTTGTGAAACATACTAGAAGTTGGAATTTTATTGCGTGCTATCTTCAAGTTGCATGGGAATTACTCTCAACACAACGATACGTCAATATTATCCCATTGGTTGCTTGCACCTTGCATGCAATTGCCAGCTGGCACTTCAGCTGAAAGGCTGCTTTATAAACCTTCTTAACCACCTTTTGCGTATAAGTATAAGATTGCAAGAATGGATATGTCCCTCATCTCAGAGAAAAGGATGTGAATATTTAAGCTGACGATTCAGGGAAGATAGTGATTGGCATACTCGAGGAAAGGATTGGTGAAAACATTGACCTTAAAACTCATTGTTGGTTTCGTGTATTTGCACGAGCAGAGTGGCAGTTGGATTGCACAAGTATTTTCAAGGTATATTGTTTCTAGATTACTAGTAAAAGTAATAGTTAACTTATGAATAAGTTAAGTTTATCATAGTTAGTAGGGTATTTTACCCAAACATATATTGTATAAAAAAAAGAAAAAAATTCAATACTTTTCATATAAATTTATAAACTCAGTTTTATGTAATAACTCTTGTATAAATTTATTTTGGATTCAATATTTTGATCCATTTGCTAAATTAAATACTCTTATATTAGTATTTTTTTGATTTTTTATATTTATATTCTTATTTAGATGGTTTGTAAAATTTACATAAAGATTTTGACATTTAATATTTTATTTACTTTGATACTCATTATAAAAAAGTGAAGTAGATTATTTTCAATAGAATAATATAAAACAAAGATTTTGCTAGTAAAGAGACACATTTATAGAAATATATGTGAATAAGAGTTTAGGTATCAAAATTACATATTGCTTTAGATATTATTCTTTTATTACCTAACAATGCTCATTCCTCACTTTATTAGAGTTATTTCTTGTTTATTCCAGTATAGCCATCAGTTCCATTTCTCAAATTTGAAGATTAATTTATGTGATTTAATGTGTACCTTTAAAAATATAACTGAAATTATTTTTTATGTTATGTGTTTAGAATATTTTGTAAATATTCTTCTTTCATAATCCTAATCAATGGCTAAGATGTTAACATTTTACTAGTTTTTTTTAAAAAATCCAGCAAGAAATAAAAGTTTTTGGGATAGATAGGGCTCTGTCTTCACCATTTCTTGAGATATATACACCATGATTTCTTTTTTATTGGTTATTTGTCATGACTTATTATTTTTATGTTATTTAAAAAAAATGGTAAGCAATTCTGTCTTATAATAATATGTATAATGGGTTTATAAAGGCACTGGCAATAGGAAGAAACATGGAGTTGGCTTTGCTAGAACTTCTCAACAATACACCTATTTACTCAGCTTTCCATTGCCACCTTTTGAAGATGCAATACAATGGAATGTTTCTAGAAGATTGGCATGAAGCGAGTGTTTCGATCTTACATAAAAAACCGGAAGCGTGACTCTGGACCAAAAAAGCCTCGCAAAAAAACTCGTCATCACGACTGCATGGGGACGATGCGCGAGAACTCTCAAATTTATAGCGAGCATTCGCCGGCTCCTCGACTCCAAATCCCAGCCACGATGCATAGCTTCGTGCCAGTGCTGCCCATCTTGCTCGAGCTCCTCGTCTTCGCGTCCCACGCTCGCATCGCCTCCGGCGCCCCCATGTTGCCCACGAAGCCGGCGTCCGCCATGTTCGTGTTTGGAGACTCCATCCTCGACGCTGGTAGCGCAAAGTTTCTCCCCCCCAATTCCTCGGTCGCGGCGCTCTCCCCGCCGTATGGAGAGACTTACTTCAAGGTCTCCACGGGGCGATTCTCGGATGGAAGGACGCTCGCGGATTTCCTCGCGCAGTGGATCAACCTCCCTTTCACCCGGTCTTACATGGATCCCGACGCTGTTCTTGAGATTGGAGCAAACTTTGCGTCCGCGGGGAGCCGTTTGATCGGCGAGTACGCGGTATACGTTCTTCCAAAACCTCGTTTTCCATCGCTGGATGTCGTAGTATAGAACTCTCTCTTTGGATCGAGCTTATATGTGCTTCTCCAGGGAGCCGTGAGCTTTAAGACGCAGATCGATCAGTTCACGGAGCGCGTGGGTCTTCTCCGGGAGCGATATGGAGACGATCGAGCCAAGACAATCCTGCGCGATTCGGTGTTTATAGTGGCGATTGGGAGCAACGACCTGGAGGCCCTCTACTTCCCCACGAACTCGAGCTTTCGCCGGATCGGATCCTCGTGGCGCTACTACGTGGGCATGATGATGGAAGAGTACGAGGCCGCTGTCAAAGTAAGCCCACTCTAAAAACTCTCTTCTCCAAAAGTTCTTCGAGAGAAGCTTTCGCATTGCTTTGATCTGTCCTCGCTCTTGGTTTTGCGCTTGCTAGACTTTGTACAACCAGGGAGCGAGGAAGATCGTGCTGGTTGGAGTGGGACCGATCGGCTGTGCACCGGCGGCTCGCTACTACGTTGCCAAGGTGGGATTGATCACCCGTCGCCAGAAGATTGGCTGCTTGCAAACGCTCAACGAGATGGCGGCGTTCTTCAACAAAAGCTTGCGCAACCTTGTGAACAAGATGCTCTTCCAGCTCCCGGAGCTGGCCATGGTTTTCCTCAAACCTTACGGCCTCCTCATGGATGCGGTACGTTCCCCTCTAGAGAATGGTAAGTTTCGATTTTGATCTTCGCTTCATGGTCGCGAGCACTGATGGATTCACGCGAATGATTTTCAAGGATTCACGAACTCGAGGGAGGCTTGCTGCGGCGATGGACTGTTCCATGCTGGCGGTTGCAACAATTCATCGTTCGTTTGCCCGGTTCCATCGACGCATCTCTTCTGGGACTCGGTGCATCTCACCGAGGCAGCTAATCTCTTCCTATTTCGCTACTTCTGGTTTGGTGATCTCCGCGCCGCGGAGCCCTACAACCTCAAGAGGCTCCTCGCTTGAGAAGTAAACGACGAGAAGAAGAAGAAGAAGGCGAATATCCCTTATATTAACGGAATACGCTAAATCCTAGCAGAATGTGCTTCTTTTCAAACTGAGACAGGATATACCGGCTAAGAGAATATACTGTTTGTTTTGGATTTTGGATAGTGTGTGGGGTTTATATTTTGCCGTCAGCGATCCTGGCGCTCCTCCCTCGCAATGGCGGCTGAGGAGAAGAAGAAGATTCTCGGCTACGCTGCCGGGTCTCCATGGCGCTTCGCAGGAAGGTGAAGGAATTCTGGTGTGTTTCTTTCTTTCACGGATTTGTGTGTGTTTGTGTGCGTAGGGCGCTGTATCAGATGCATTTGGTCAAGGCCGAGACCGCGCGGAGGCACATTCCCGGAGAATTGAAGCTTGTGGAAGCTTTTGGGTGCGAATTCTTTCTTTTTTTCGCCAAATGTGTTTATCTGGTCTTTGTGAAGATACACGCTGGGTGGATTCTTCCTTGCGCACTACAACGATAGTCCAGTCGGGCCTTTCGATGAGGTGATATTCTTGACTCCTGTGCTCATTGTGTGAACCATCGTTTTCGTTTCTATATAATCTGGTAGTGGAATGTCGACGATCCAGAGATTGAGCAGGTATTAGAAATATAGTTCTCCTGCGAAGACAACTTTGGGTGTTGGAAAGACGCTGATCGTTTGGAACGCTTGCAGCTCGTTGTGATTGCTGGAATTGTCTGGAACCCGCCAACTTCTTGTGCGTAAGTACCATATGCTTTCTCTTTGGGTTTTAAACTGTGTCATGGCTTTTAGCTGGGCAGCGAGAGTTTTAGTGAACGACAAGGGAGCCTGCAGGCACGGAAGAATGGTGAGTGAATTTGAGGCGCTTGTTGGCATGATTCCTTACAGAATTCTTTGTAGGAAGTGGGACTCCCCAGCCAGCTTGCAAGCTTTTCACATGTAAGCGTTCTTCGTTTTCTCGTGCCGGTTTTTGTTTTTCATTTTCTTCTTCCCAGCCTGTGATTTCTGTGAGGAACAAAGGTGGAACTCATCAGAATCGTTTCAACTTTTTTAATTCCGACATCAAGGAGGAAGAAACACACGGGCTTGATGTTTCACGTGGAAGCTTTAATCCGTGGTGTCGTATATCTATGGCTCACAGCTGTAAGAAGCATTGCAATTTATTTTGTTTGGCCTTACATGCTTTTCTTCTTTTCTGTTCAGTAATGAATGAAGCGACCAGGAAAGGTCCGCCATTGAACTTTTGTCTTCCCAGCTTCAGGTGTGTTGTACGTAAGTTTTGCAGTGAGTTCTCACTGTGTTTCTCAGTGGCAACACCAGGCAGCAGCCAAATATTCTAAAGTACTCTTGCGATTTGAGTTGCAGGTTCGTTTTGTGCTTTGCTTTTGTTTGTTTGATGAAGACAGAATATCATTCCTCCAGGGTGGCTGCTTCAAAGCCAGCATCAATAAGTGCTCCAGAGCACATCCCTGGCAGTGACCATTTGGATGCTGACATCCTTGAGATATTATCGAGCAAACCCGTGCTGGCCCTTTCGTTTGAGGACATGCAAATGGCAGTGAGAGCCCCCACTGTGCTCATATCGAAGCAAGCTGCAGCTGTGAATGAGAAAGGAGCCGGCTAGAGTGTGTGTCCAGTCCAGGTAAGAACTTTCTGATTCTTGTGTAAATATTATTTATTTACAGTCTTATGTTCAAAGTGTTGTTTTCTCACCGTCCTCCCAAACAGCGTAAGCCTCTTCTCCGTGAACAGCATCGTCGCCAATGCGCAGTTGGTCATCGGACATTCTTAGCTTCATCAGTCTTTTCACAACGACGCAGATGAGGGTGGTCACAGCAACGTTCCACAGAATTACTAGCAAAGCTGCAGCAAGCTGCTTGAGTACTAGCTGGAAATTTCCAAAGATGACGCCTTCCGAGCCGGATACCGGGGAAACCATAGCTGTTAGACGGGGATGAGCAAAAAATCCAGTAAGGAGGACTCCTATCAGAGCTGCTATTCCGTGAGTATGAACAGCACCGGCAGTATCATCCACTTCTTCGCAAAACTTGGCGGTAGTTTTCTGGTGGCACAGCCGAGTCAGCCAAGGCAGACTTCCAGAGCACAATCCTATGCACATCGACGCCCATCCTTCGACAAGTCCTTCGAGAGAAAGAAAAAGAACAGTTGCAAACTGAAAGGTGGAAAAACTCTGGCTTACCAGCCGCTGGAGAGATTGCAACGAGACCAGTCATGAGTCCTTGAACAGCGCCAAGAACCGAAGGCTGGCCGTGGTAGAAGACGTCGAGAGAAGTCCACACTAAGAGGCTTGTAGCAGCGGCGATATTGGTATTTACAACAGCCAACGAAGCCTGTTGTGGAGAAAGGAAGGCACTTCCACCAGCGAATCCGATCCATCCCAGCCAGACCAGGCCAGCTCCAGCGAGAACGAGCATCACATTATTTGGCGGATACCGTGCTCGATCGACTGGATGCCGAGGACCAACCTGCAGGTACAAGTTCTCTCGAGTCTTCGACTAAACCACGTACTGTTTGACATACCCAGTGAGCAAGAACAGCGCCGCTTACGCCTGCCGAGAGATGGACAACGTAGCCTCCTGCAAAGTCCAAGACTCCCCACCGCGAGAAAAAACCACCGCTCCAGATGCTGGACGCTCCAACAGTGTAGGAGAAAATGAGCCACAGTGGGACAAAGACCGCCCAGGCCTGAAAGGTGATTCTAGCCGAGACCGCAGAGGATACAATGGCCACGGAGTTAGCCGCGAAGCCAAACTGGAAGGCCACCATGGTTGCCGAAGGGAAGTCGAGGTCCTGGTGAGTAGCCGGGTGTTGGCTACGGCTGAGAAGGAACTTGGTGTAGAGAACAGGTCCAGGGGTCCCCCAGAAGGGAAGGAGGTGTGATCCAAAGGCTAAGTTGTGGCAGATCGTCACCCAGCAGATGAGAGAGGCAGTGAAGGCGTAGAGGGTCAGGAAGGCGGTGTTGACGGCCCACTTCTTCCTCGCGATGCCGCTGTAGAGAAGTAGGAGCCCGGGCATGGTTGCCAGTCCCGCGAGAATGGCTGCCACCATCATCCAGGCGTTGCTACCTTTGTCCATCCAGCACGGAGTCGACGACGATGAGAGGTACGAGCACTTCATCTCCAGTTTGGATACAAAGATTTACAAGTTATTGGATCTATAGGGAGACGATCGAGAGTGTGGAGTGTCCATCTTCTGGAGCTGGGAGCTGCCCATGAGGAGCTTACCGTCAAACCAAGAGGTATCCATTGCATCCACGCTCGCTTGGATCGCTCTCTTTTTAAGCACCTTCTCCTCGGTTACATCGCTACGAATGCAAACAACGTCCGCGTAGATTCGCTTGCATATACTCTGCTATTGCCATTCTATCATACATTAAACTCTTGCCACCTTTCTATCATACGTACTTTCCCCTGTATTTGGGAATAACTCTCTGCAAAACTTCGCCGCCGGGTGTGAATACCAAAGAGCGCAGCTTGTCTTTGGCGTCGAGCAGCTTTGCGTGGTTCTTCTTGAACTCGAGGTGTGTTTCCAGCGCCCGGGCAGCCAGATCGTCCGTGTACTCGCTCGTCTTCTCCATAGTGAGAAGGCAGCGGCTATACTTCGTGCTGAGGATTTGCTCGCTGGAAGAAACGAGCTGGAAGCATGGATGATCCGGGAGCTTGTTGTCCGCGCCCTCCTCGCGCGAGAGGGGATAGAAGAACACCAAGCGGCCGCCGGTGACGAGGAGCTGCGCCGCCATGTCGAGTAAGTCGTGGACGCACTCCTCCAAGATGTAGGCTGCGGTGGAAGGGATGTGTTCCTTGCGCTTGTCGTCCGGGATGATGTATGGATCTATGATGCCTTTGAGGAGCTTCCTCCCTCCGGATTTTCTTCCCCCGGCTCGGATTCCATACGGGGGGTCGCAGATGATAGCATCGAAAACCTGGAATAGCGAAAGATCACAAGAGGGTTTGAGTGATAGGAAGGAAGTGTGTACAAACCTCCCTCAAGTTTGGTCGCCATGGCCTTGCGTTGTTGTCTGCTCGAACCAAGCCCACTGGCGGAGGCAAATCATACTGAAGAAAGCGAAGAGAATCAAAACAAGAATGAGAAGAACGCAAGTCCTTGAGCTCTCGCAGTGTTTACCTGTTTAAAGTTACTCCAAACGTTGCAATCCGGGCCACGACCATCGCGAATAACTCGTAGATCAATATCGGCACCCTGCGAGAGATCAAAGTATGACAAGCGAAAAAGAAGAAGAAAAGGAGAAAAAAGAGGCTTTTTTACCATTGTCAAGGCACCATAGTGAGCAGCCGCGACGAGGATGCTGCCCGTCCCGACGAAGGGATCATACACAAACTTGCCCGTGTCTACTAGAGCCTGGTTAGACATGAGACACGCAATCTCAGCATCCATAGCTGTAGGACCAAGATACTTTCGAGTGCTCAATGCGTACTTGGTAACGAGGCTCCTGTCAGCTCCCCCAATCTCACGTCCAAAGAAGAGCCTTGTGCCATCCACCGATGGCTCCAGCGGCGCTGGCATCCCATTGTTGATAACTCGGCCATCCGTTTCCATGAACCAGAACTTCTCTTTAGGATCTCTCAGCTGGACGCGACCCTGGAAGAAGTTCGATGGATACAAGTTGAAACTGGAGGAAAGAATGTACCTGGAAAGGAATGAAATCGAAGCTGTTGATGAGCTTGATCTGTTCCTCGGAGCTGATGACCTTCCCGAAAGTGTCGACAATGATCTTGAAAGTCACCTCGGTTCCCAAGTAGGGGCGCTTCTTCTCCTCCGGGAACGCCTCCACGGCCGCACGGAGCTCCTCGTACGTGCTCCCCTCGCCCCAAATCTCGAAAATGGCCTTCACGAGCACGCCTAGCGCAAAACAACCGCTTTCAATCCATCGGGAAATGCAATGCAAGCCCAAAGCAAGAGAAGATACGCACTTCGCTTGGCGATGCTGCGCGCCATATCCTCCGACGGGAGGCGCACGAAGTAGAATGGCGAGTCGGGATGATGGTTGGGCGCTTGCCTCCATTGCAGCTTCCCGGAGCACCCAAAGAGCTTGGCTAGCGATTCAACCTCTGGAATGCGGTAGTCGAGCAGCCTGTGCAAGAAGTAGCAGAGGTACCAAGACCCAGCGCCATGCTCCCCGCCCATGGGAGCATAAAACCCTAAACTTGAAGGAGCCCTAAAAACAGAGCACTGTAAAATACATAACCATAGTTAATTGTTATTTAAGTTGAATTAGAAAAACCCTAAAACGTCTAAAATTAGATAAGCATCCACGTGGCTCTTAAGGTTAAAGGAAATCCTATCCAAAAAGATTGCATATAAAACTTTGGTCCCATACTTTGGGAGAGATTAAATGGGGAGACAGAGGCTCAAGCTGGCGTTTATCGTCAATCTCTCCAAGCGGCGGCACGCCTTCAAGAAGAAAATGGACAATTTGCTGAAGAAGTCATACGAGCTCAATGTCCTCACGCGCACGCGGGTGAGAATACGGGCTACGTTCTTGGGCGCCGTCTACGTCTACGTGTTTGACGGTACCTGCGACTATGGCTATGGTAGCTGCGACTATGGCTATGACTACGAGCAAGAAGGTGGCGAGGAAGGGCAAGCGGGTGGCGAGGAAGAGCAAGAGGGTGGCGAGGAAGAGCAAGAGGGTGGCGAGCATGACGATGACGGCACCGCAGATGATGACGAGGGCTTTGACTTTTCCGGGTTTGACATATCGGTGATAGACGACTCCCTGCCGGACTTGGAGAATTTCCTCGAGGAATTCAGTCAAGAGCAGTCGTCATGCCCTAGTCAAAAGGCTCCCATTGACTACGTCAACAGCGAGGAGGAAGTCAACGGCTTCTTCAACTTCTAGGGTTCTACTGACCACTCATTAGATAACATAACCTCTGTGTACCTACGTGAATTTGCCCAAATTCCCTGTCCCGCAAACAAAGGATGGGATTTGACAAACTTCACGAAAGAGTACCTCACAGAGCATCTGTTTACATTTGTATTTCTAGAGTTTCAATGAAAGAAAACAAGCACAACGATGAAATCGTTGCAAGCTTTTCATTCAAGACTGTGGCTTCTCCTCGAGGCAAAACGCGTAACAGGGTGAAGGCGGCAGAATGTACACGAGATGAGAAGCTGGCTGACAATGGCTGACTTGCGAGTGATCAATCCCGCAAAGTTCCAGCGATGGGGGGCGGACATGCCCGGCAACCAAAGGCAGGCAAGCAATCGACACGACTAGCTTCGTACCGGATTGGATCGCCAGTGACACAAAACCTTTCCGCCTCCCCGCAACCATCCAGGACGCCGGGCTCGCCTTGACTTCGTACGCAAGCTGCTCGATCTACAAAAGAACCATGAATGAAAAGAGAAAGTAAATGGCTGAGCTTTACCTCGCTCGACTGCGCTTTCTTGAGTCTCTCGATTCTCCACTGGAGGATAACTTGCTTGCCGACTCGTGGACACGGGCCTGGTAGTGGCAGCATCCCGACTGCTACTTGATGGTCCGAGACCGGCACTTGCAGCTGGAAGAAGCCTTTGAAAGTCAGGACGTCTTGCTCGTCGATCTTGCCTTCCCCTGAGGTTGAGGATGCTTGGCTTCCAGATATCTTGTAGCTAACGGACAGAGCGCTTCTTTCTCTTGGTTCCTCTTCGTAGCCACCACCATTGGGAAGATCTGAGAGAAAAGTTTTGAGCGTGGCAGTAGTAAGTTTGCTTTTACTCACCGCCGTTTTCGTGGTCGTCTAATTTGATTAGGAAAACGAGAGCGCATTCGGCATATCCAGAAATCGCGATTGGAAGCATCCACAACGGATCGGAGCTACTAGTGGCATGATGAAAACCACCTTGCAAGCTAAGTGCGGCATCTAAGATTGTAACTCCGACGTTAACTTGGGATAGCAAAGTAACCTGCAGAACTTGTCAAGTGAGTGAAACGCGCGATATGGAGGAATACCTGCAGCAGAAAGACTCCCGCATTTTCGTTTGCGACGACCCGAGTGCTGAGACGAAACGGCTCCGTAAGACCTGACAATTCTGGTTCTGTACGTGACGTTTCTGGCTTCATTTCGACAAGGGGTCGAGGAACCGAAACCTGTCAAGGACACAGAGGAATTTAATTTGATCCTGTACATGTTTTTAAAAGCCATACCTGGAGCACGGGTCTTACGGGCCTCTCCGAGCTCAAATAGTCATCATTTTCAAGCGAGCCAATGGCGCTGATGGTGCAACATGAATGTGAACGTATCGCCACTTGACCAAGTTGTCCAGTTAATGCTCCAAGAACATATGATCCTGGTTTTTGAGGTTGCACCACCATCGAAATAGTATTCTTTCCTGGTGACAGAACAGGGACATCTGCACTCTTGATGGTCTGCAGAAACACATATCAGAATATCACATGAATGACGCATTTCAAACCTTGGCACTTTCATCAAGACTGAAAGTTGCAGACAGCGTCATGCTCAGGGATTGGAGTGAAATCTCGTCGGTGAATCCACTCCATACTGTAACCGGCAGCGTCCCTGGATCCCCTTCAAAGAGCTCCAATGGTGGTCCAGGTTGTCCGCAGAACGTCATCAGAGCTGACACGTCCACGGGAAGAGGAACTTTCAGTCCACTGTGTGCGAGTTTCACAACTTCGGACTGAAGGGCCTTCCTTTGCTCAACAGGTACCAATCCGCGATCCAGTGACAGGAGCTTTATGCAGGAAGAAAGATATCCCCCAAGGTCGCCCAATTGTTTCTGGCATTCGGCAAGACGTGGGAGGACCTCAGCTACCAAAGCATGCCATCTCTCACCGGAATAGAGAGCACAAACTTTCTCGTATAGTTTCGCCGCAGAATCAAAATTCCCTGTCCGAAGGTGTAATGCCGCTACTTCACCATCCAGGACAACACCATGCCTTTTGCGAGAGCGATGGTAGTTGTCAGCTGCTGCTCGTGTAAGTTCAAGATACATTGCCTGCGTGTCACTTTAAGACAGAGTACAGGTAAGAAAACATTCTTCATACCTCATATCCTTCAGGTGATGATAATGCTTTTTTGAGGCCTTCGTGGGTGACAATTTTTAGTATTTCAGCCACTGCATCAGTATGTGCGTCATCTAGTTTCTTTGGCTTCTCAGCAGCGGCTGCCGATGGGCTTGCGGGGCTACCACTTGAATACAAACTTCTGCGCGGCGAAGTTGAATGTAGTGGTCCGTATCCAAGAATCTCGGATAGCCTCATCAACTAAAGTTCAAGGTTACCAAAAAAGCCATCGCAAAACCATTTAAATGTTACCTTTGTTCTAGCAAGCGAGTTCAAGTCTGCTTGAAGGCGATAGAATTCCTTTTCAGCGTCTGGCGTCACTGATCGAGGAGTAAAACATTCCACTGTCGCTTTTATTAGTGACAGGCAGGCTGAAACTACCCATATTTCCCGCATACAAAATGGCAGGTTTTTCTGTTTAATACAAGCTGTATTAAACATCCCATTTCCAAGAGAGAAGGACAAAGATTACCTCGTGCATAGATAAAATTTTTGAGAACGAGTAAATGAAATACAATCCTCTTCCAGCAACATCAATTGTACGGTTTAACTTGAACAGCAACTGCAGAGACTAATCTTTAGCAAGGAACAACAGTAATGGTTAGAAAAACTACCGAAGCCTGACGTGCAAAAAGGTACTGGCGGAAGTCAAATTCACGGAAATAATCGTCAACAGTAAACTGTGTGACTTGCTTCCGTGACACTTCGAGAAGTGCTGCACGGTCGTCCCCATGGTCCATTCCGCCAAAGTCCCTCATCTTCGAGGAAGGAATATTAACTGCCATGACCAGTTACTGCAAATCAGAAATGAATTGCTTTAGCAGGCCATGGTCTAGCATATGGACATACAAAATGCAGCTTGAAACACTACCTCACCTATTTCCAGATATATTTGCTCAATATCATCATATTCTCGAAGTGCGTCCTCAAAGAGATATGCAAGCTCAAACATAAAGGCCAGACCCTCCTGCATTGGAATAGACTTGAACGTTGGCAAGAGCCATAAATCCAAAAGGAAAGCATACCATAACGGTGAAAAGGTTGGAGAAGCTCCATCCCGGCATCGAACGATTTTCGTTTAGCCGCTTGACCTCATCATAAGACTGTACCCGACGCTCTAGCGTATTGCGGATGCATTCGCTAGTGCGAGCATCAATTTCCTCCCACGAGGCTGCGTCCGAGGCACTTAAATCCAGCTTGCAACATCTACAAAAACTCGTCTGGCATAAGTTCTCACAGCTCATAGAAATAACGCGAGCAAAAGAGAAAAAAAGAAAGAAAAACCTTTCGCGTCTCTTGCTGCTGAAGTCAACTTCCAGCTTGCTATAGATGCGCTTCGCCTGCTTCCCGGTCGGATCATTGGGATTGGCCTTGGATACAAAAACGATAAACCATTCTCGCTCATCGTTTTGTACCATGCCTTTGATTCGCGGCTTCAAAATGGCCTTGTAATCGTCAATGTCCTGCGCAAGCCACCCACATTGCTTGTAGCAACTAGAAAGGAAACAACACAAAAGGAGAAAAATTCTAGAAAAAATTGGATGGAGCTACAGTACCTCGCATGTCACCAAGAGAATGGTCGCATAGGGGAGCCGGAAGAAAAAGGGCGATTGCTCCAAAGGAAATCGAGACCGAAGGCGCGGATCTGTAGTGAGCACAAATTCCACCGGCAGCTTCTCCACGACAACGGGATTGCGAGCCTTGTTGTTGAGCAGCGTCTTCTTGAGCGGAATGCGAGCCTCGAAGGAATCCTTGACGAGCGGCCACAAATCGCTCACATCATCGACTGGCGGGAGCGTATTATCAGATCTGAGGGATGGAAAATGCGACTTACTTGCGATGATCAAGCTCTCGGAGGAGATCTTGAAGCTCTGGAACTTGGTGAGCCAGGTGGACGCTGCCATGGAGCTCAAAAACCCTAGAGCTAGAAATTAGAGAATGTCACATTTTACTATCCAAGTAAGTTTGTTCACAGCCGTCGGATTTTAGCCAATCCGACGGCGTAGATTCAAAGTTTATCAGTTGCTTGGCTTCGCCAAAGAGCTAAGAAACGCTACAACTTCTTCGCTGCCTGCAAGAGAGTATCTCGCGAGAGATCGCTGCCTTCCAACAGTGCACGAGAAATAGTTCTCCCCGTTGAGATCCAGAACCGACGCACCTTGGATCATTGACGATTCCTGGGGAGCAATCGGATGATCCGGCGAGCGCGCTGCTTTTGTTGTTGATGGTGCTGCTTTGGATCTCGGGGGAGACGCTGCTTTGGGTTCTATATTCACTCTCTGGTAAGGCAAGTCCGGCTCGAAAAACGTGTAGATGTCTTCGTCCTGGAAAGACGACGCTCAAAACTTTTATCGTATCTTTGCTGATTGTAGCAAACCTTGCTGAGGAAATGTCCAATGCACATCACGTAGTCGATTGGCACGCTCATATTCTTGCTGTGGACAACTTCTCCAAGAATGCGGTCGATTGCGGCACCCTGTAGGATTTTCTCTGTTACGAGGGGAAAAAGAAAAGGATATCGATGGTTTTCTTACCTTCGAAACTCCAACAGGACGAACTTCCACCGATTTGCTCCCTTGGACGACATCCACGGCGGCATTTGAGATTGGTCCTGTCCACAAGTGCTGCAACATATCCCACGCTTGAACCCTTCCAAACTCAAGATCTGCGCAGAAGAAAAGTAAAATATAAGCAGCTAAGAGACACACAAAAGGTACCAACCTGCATACTTGAAGTTCCACACTAGAGAAGTTTGACGAGCTTCGACATATGATCTCGGTGTGCGCTCGCTGAAATAATCGAACACCAGCTGTTGGAGCGCTTGTTAAAACCACCATTGCTGTACTACAAAAAGAACCAGCTTCTGATGGTACCTGCACGCTCTCAACCCAGTCCAAATTGAGGTGCTCGGGCATTGTTGTCATCCAGTCACCAGACGTGTGTCTGAGAAACATGCCATTTTCCGCAGCAAGCCATAACTTAAAATCGCCAAAAGCCTGAAACTCTACCGACAAAAATCAGAATTCTCGAGAAACAATCAGAAGTGACCTCGTCAAGAAGAGAGCGCTCGCTACCACTGAGTATCACAACCGTTGCCTTTGGATCCGCACATAAATGTCGAAGAGTTTCGTGCAAAGCAGGATGCAAAGTTTCTCTAACACGATCAAGGCGAGGAGCGTCTGCTTGTGCAGTGAGAGCCGCATTAAATCCCTGAAGTAGAGTAAAACATCGAAGTAAGTCACAATTACAAGATGGAAAACCATAACAAGTTTACTAGAATCAGCAAGCAGTTCTTCGACGTAGCATAACTGCTAATTGCTTTCTCGACCGGCAGTGGTGGGGGTACACGCAGAATGCGCAACTCTGCCTCCACAACCGTATCGTTTAGTTCACTGGAAAGAAAACAATGAGAGCGTTTGAGATACGAAGAACCTAGTACGAGTTTACCTTACAAACGTGTCGGCCCAGAGCTGAGCCGTATGGGATGTAACATGGATGAAGTTGTGACGGTGTCTTTCTTGCCGTTCAGTCTCGCTCATGTTCAACGCATCTGCTATGGCACAAGCCGCCTCGACAATGTTCCAAGGATTGATAAGTATCGCTCCAGCACCCAGCGATTGTGCTGCACCTGCAAACTACAAGCATGAATCACTTAAAAGCTCCAATCTGAAGAAATTTAATTCAGCACCTCGCTCAAGACAAGAACACCCTTCTTCTGGTCCTGGCATGCGACATACTCGTAGCTCACAAGATTCATGCCGTCCCGCAGAGATGTTACCAGCAACACGTCTAATAGTGGCATAAGTATAACCAGAAACTTACGAAGTTTTAAAGCTTACCAGTAATCGCATACAGAGCACATAGCTCACAAAACTCCAGTGATCGGTCCTATTTTGAAACTTGACAAAGCCAAATAAGAATAAAATTACTTCGTCTACCAGATGATGGATGGGAACTGTTGTCAAGGTTCCGAATCGACCATTAATACGTCCAACAATCTCGTGAACTTGGCTCGATAGCTTCTGATCTACAAAAGTCTCGAAGTTAAAAAGCGCAAGACAGATAAAGTCAATCTACATTCATGAACATCTGTTCGAGTAGGCACCGCGATCTGAACCATGACGACTTTGTCGTGCCAAATCGGATTGTCCTCGAGAAACTTTTCAAACGCTAGTAGCTTCTGCGGAATTCCTTTGATCATATCCAATCTATCAACGCCCAGCATAACCTGACAAAACAATACGTGTGAAACACAAAGCCAATCCATTCAAAGCCTCGTACCTTTCGTCCCGAGAATCGCCTAGAGAGCTCCTGAATATGATTTCTAACAGTAGACGTATGCAAGGCCCTCACAAAGCGCTCCGCATCAATCCCGATTGGAAACTGCTCAAAACTACAGCTCAATACATACCAAAGACCAAAAGCCGAACTTCATACGTACAGCTGCGACTCTAGTGAGCTTTCCTTGATCTTCAACACCATCTGGCGTCCCTTCCAAGCCCAAAATACGTGTGCATGCACTGACAAAGTGTCTCGCATAGTCATATGTATGAAACCTGCGAACCATCAGCTACCCCTAGTCCTGGATAACATAAACACATACCCGATCAAATCGGCTTTCAACACGGCTTGCAACAGCTCCGACCGCTGCGGCAAAGTCCTGTAAATCTCCGACGACGGAAACGGCGTATGCAAGAACCATCCAACTTTCATCTCACTCTTGGCTTCTTTGAGAAACCTCGGCAGAAACATCAGATGGTAGTCGTGACACCAGACGACGTCCCCTTTCTGATAATGCGAGAGAACAACCTGCGCAAAAATCGAGTTTGCGCGCTTGTACGCATTAAACTGGGCCTCGAGACCACGAGTCGCAGCCAGCCTATCGTCCTGGGTGAGTCCAATGTAATGGAAAAGCGGCCAGAGAACGTTGTTACAGTAGCCATTGTAGTAGAGATCAACAGTCTGTTCGTCGAGAAAGACCGGCACAAACCCCTGGAAGAAACAGGCAAAAAATTCACAAACGATGAGCTCAAGAACAAAAGGAGCACTCGAACAAAGCACGCTTTTACCTCCTCCCCGAGAGCTCTCGAAAGAGATTCTTTTCCTACGTCGTCCTGGACATTGACACCAGCCCAGCCGATCCACGTCGTTTCGAATTGCTTCACTCCTGCGAGGATCAAAGATGCAAGATCAAAGAAAGCAAGCTAGAGCTCCGGGAAGAAAAGAAAAACGAGGAGGAAAAAAACACGTACCAAGTAGCGCACTAACAAGCCCACCAGCACTGAGCTCCAAGGCCCACGCATTCTCACTACGCCGGATAGCCGACACTGGCAAGCGATTCGCCACGACGAGAAGCCTTTGCCTCTGCTCGTCCTTGATGATCCCCTCCGAGCCCCCAATCCCATCGATATCGCCGGCGCCGCTCTCGCCCCTCCGGAGCTGCCTCTCGCGGAGCAATCTCCCCACCCGCGATGAGAAAACCGGCGATCCAGACCCGAGCTTGGACGAAGAAACGCTGTGATCGTGGTATCCCTCCTCGCCGAGCAGCGGCCCTGCCTGGGATGCCACTGGATCGTCCTCCTCTTCCTCCGATCCATACATTTTTAAACTAGATCTTTCCTGCATGCTTGAATTCTTGCTATCCTCTTCCTCCCCTGCTGGATCAGTGATAAAATGTACCATTGATTGAGCGCTGCGTCCTCACAAATCGCTCGAATCGATCGATCGATCGATCAAACAGCCAGATAACAGAGAGAGAGAGGGAAGAACAAGTAACCTTCCATAACCCTAAACCCTAATCTGACCAATCTGAGCCGTTGGATGCCATGTGTCCCATGCAAAGTTCTCAGTCCTAAAGTTTTCCGTACAGTTTTAAAGGCCTAGGGTTAGGGCTGCTGGACTGGGGGGAGCTCCGATGGGCAAGCATGGCTTCTTCCGGCTGCTGGGCGGCACCATGATCAAGGTGAAGACACTCACAGGCAAGGAAATCGAGATCGACATCGAGCCCAATGACACGATCGAGCGCATCAAGGAGCGCGTCGAGGAGAAGGAAGGGATTCCTCCCGTCCAGCAGAGGCAAGCGAAAGAAATCTCTTGTTTCTTCTGGGAGAGATGGAATGACTCTTTGTTCTTGCAGGCTGATCTTTGCCGGGAAGCAGATGAACGACGACAAAACCGCGCGCGATTACAACATCGAGGGCGGATCCGTGCTCCATCTCGTTCTCGCGCTCCGCGGCGGCGCCGGGGGATTCCAATGAAGATCAAGCTTGGGCTTTTTGTACAGGGCAGTACAAATGCGTGGAGTGTTCTCCTTAATAGTCGAACTATTTTTTGGTTTTCTCTAAACATCTTGATGGAATGGACGTGAAATCTCTAGCTTCGCTCGTCCGATCCAGTGGCGAATCTAGAAATCTCGCCCGGGGCCGCGAGCTACACGAAGCGATTCGTAAAGGGCAGCACGGCCAGAACACGCTGCTCTTGAATCTCTTGATCGAGATGTACGGAAGGTGCGGGCAAGTGTTCCACGCCAAGCAGATCTTCGATAACCTCAAAGATCCAAACTATTTCTCGTGGAACATCATGGTGACAGCATTTGCCCAGAACGGGCATCTGGATCAAGCGCGGGAGCTCTTTGACAGAATGGACGGCCCGGATGTCGTGCTGTGGACGCTGATGCTCACGGCGTACGGCCGCCGCGGGAATCTGGACGATGCGAAGGGAATCTTTGACCTGATGCCCGACCGGAATATCGTGACGTGGACGGCGATGGTGCAGGCATATGCCCAGCATCGGAATCTCGCCGGTGCCAAGTCGGTGTTTGACCGGATGCCCGAGTGGAATCTCGTGACGTGGAATACCCTGCTTATGGCATATGCCCGGGAAGGGTATCTGGACGTGGTCAAGAGAATGTTTGACGAGATGCTCGAGCGTAATGTGGTCACGTACTCTACGATGCTGCAGGCATATTCCGAGAGTGGTGAGTTCTCCGGGGTTGAGTATTTACGAGAAAATATTCCAGAGCACGACGTGGTATCTATGACAGCTATGCTCTCGGCATATGCCCAAGAAGGGGATCTTGTGGTAGCAAGAAGAATGTTTGAGAATATGCCGGAGCATAATACGGTAGCTTGGACTGCGATGCTGCAAGCTTACGCTGTGAACAGGAATCTACGCGGTGCAAAAGAGGTATTTGATAGAATGCGTGAGAAGACTTTGGTCGCGTGGAATACGCTTCTACAGGCATATGCCGAGGATGGGAATCTAGAGGCTGTAATGAGCATCTTTGGAAAGATGCCCGAGTATAATGTTGTCACGTGTACCGCAGTGATTCTTATCCTTGGTGAACACGCCCAGCTAAACGAGGTTAAAGCAACGTTTGACAAGATGCCTCTTCACGACATTGTAACGTGGACAAGCCTACTAACGGCATATACCCAGAACGGGCATCTTCTAGATGCGAGGCTTACGTTCGAGAATATGCCCGAGAGGAACGTTGTCTCTTACAACATTATCATTGGAGCATATGCTCACAAAGGTCTTACAGCCAAAGCAAGAAAGATGTTCTATCAATCTCCTGAGAGAAACACTATAACTTTCACGACTTTGATCGTAGCAAACGCTCAATCTGGACATGACAAAGAAGCGATCGAGTGTTTTGGGCTGATGTTCCTGGACTCCTGCAAACCAAACGAGATCTCATACCTCGGAGTTTTAATAGCCTGTTGTCATGGAGGCCGATTGGAACAAGGATGGTCTTACTTCTTGCTGATGAGCGAGGATCCCGTGCTTAGACCCGGGATAGAACACTTCTCTTGCATGGTGGATCTTCTCGCGAGAGCTGGGCAGCTTGACAGGGCCGAGGAGCTCATAAACCAAATGCCCTTTGTCCCTGACGAGATCACCTGGGGAGCTCTTCTTGCCGGGTGTAAAACTCATCGAGATTTCCAGCGAGCGAAAGTGGCGGCTTCGCATTTGTACGATGGAGACCCTGAGAATTCAACATCACACGTTCTTTTGTCAAACCTCTACGGCGAAAAAGTACCTAGAGAGAAATCGAAAGCGACTTAGACATACCAAGTTTCGTAGAGCCTTTGCAGCTGACATCTCGAGTTTTCTTGTTCTAGCGAAAAAGGCTTGGTCTGGATCGAATCGGAAGCTTCCCCTCTAGCTTCAGTCGCCGGTACGCTTGGCGGAGATGACGGGGTCGGATCGGTCCCTCTTCCTGTTGCTCGGACATTATGATTCGAGCTGCGAGACCACGAAGTTAGAAAAAAAAAAAGAACGCGCTCTTGGACTTTTACCCGTTTCGATAACATCACCCACGAACATCTTCGCGAGACCAGACATAACGATCGACATTGGCACTGATATAGAACACCCTGCTACGTTTTGGACAAGCTGAGAAAGATCAAAAGAAAGAAAAATTCAGCGAAATCACGAAGAGAAGCAAAGGAACCACTCACTCTACGCATTTGCGTCTTGGGAAAGCCCGACCGCCGGTAGTGCTCATACCGATCTAGCTGATCTGCAGTAAATCTTCCCATAGCTTCCCTAGAACACACAAAAGAGAAGAATTTAGAACTGGAGGAGAGATATTTCGATCTACTCACTGGATTCTATCCGTGTCCACGATCGGCTGCTGCCGTGGCTTCTCGACCTCGACCTGCTGCTGCTGATCTTCATCCTCCTCGGCCTCCACCTCCGCCGCCGCCTCGCCCTCCGCCTCTCCATCCTCCGCCTCTCCCTGCGCCTCGGCGTCTTCGTCTGGATTCCTCACGGGCTCGTCCTCGTCGGATCCAGAGAGTAGCGGGAAATCGTCGTCGCCATCGCCCCCATCCATCCCTATAAACCCTAAATTCCTCTTCCTCTTCCAGTGAATCTTTTGTGACCTAAGTAGAATCGCGGTATCATGGGAGACGTCCCGTGAAAATCCCTAGCCGGGAGACGAGAGCTGCGAGCGAGCGCGCTACGATGGACTGCGATGGCGCTTCGGCTTCGCGGAGCTCCACTCCAGCTCTGGAGCTCTACAAATGTAGGCACTTCGAGCTCTACAAGCGCGAGATCGGCAGCTTGCGGCCGTCGCTCTACGCGCATCGAATCGGCGGCTGTGAGGTGCGTGTAGCGATCGCCTGGGTTTTCATCTCCTTAGGTCTGGTGGCTTCCTCCTTGCATGGATTCCCATTCTCTTTTTCGTGCTTTCTTACAATGCTCTTCGTTTTTGGAGATATGGAGTTCCTTGGATTTAAATTTCTTCCTCTTCTTCATCTTTCCAGGATTTCTTTCCTTCATTCTTTTCTGCGCTCTTGGGGAATGATCAAATTTTTTTGGTCGGAACTTGACTTTTCGTTTTTCTCTTCTCCTTTTCCCAGGACATGGTACAACGACTTAAGGAGTTTCGCAGACTTTCTGGGCATCGAGGATGCGTTAACACTGTTCACTTCAATCCCTCCGGCGATCGATTGGTGTCCGGCTCGGATGACAAGCAGATCATCTTCTGGGACTGGATGGCCGGACGAAAGAAGCTCATCTATCACTCGGGTCACGAGCAGAATGTTTTCCAAGCGAGAATTATGCCTTTCTCGGATGATCGCAGTGTTGTCAGCTGTGCTGCTGATGGACAAGTAAGTCGTTCATTCCTTCCATTTTCGTTAAGTTCTCTCCCTGATCGTGTTTCGTCAACCAAACTACCACCTAGAACAAAAAATCTAATCTTTCCAACTTTTTGTAGGTGCGTCATGCTTTGATCTCCGAGGATGGAAGAGTTGAGACTAAGAAACTAGCCAAGCACAGAGGTCCTGCTCACAAGCTTGCGGTCGAGCCAGGAAGTCCTCGAACGTTCTTCAGCTGTGGAGAAGATGGTATTGTCCTACATGTAAGCGAATCCTTGGAGTCTTTCCCTGGTTTTGATACGTAGTGTGTTTGTTTTCTAGTTTGATCTGCGAGACAACAGGCGGACAAAGCTTCTAAGCTGTCAGAACCGCTTCAAATCCAGAGGCCCGCTTGTCCGCCTGAATTCAATCGTCATCAATCCCCGGAATCCAAACTATCTCGCTGTCGGTGGCGACGACGTCTACGCCCGAGTTTACGACCTGAGAAAGATCGGTGACGACACACCAGTCAGCCTCTACACTCCAAAACACCTCATCGGCTTCCCGCACATACACATCACCTGCGTCGCTTACTCTCACCAAGAGGAGCTCCTCGTCTCATACAGCGACGAGCACATCTACCTCTTCCAGAGGGACATGGAAGTCCAGGATCAGACGAGGCCCGACGACGACTCGGCGTCGGACGAAGAAGTAAACTCCGACACCCCCGACTGCGACGACGAGATCGACACAAGCATCAGGAAGAAGGATGGAGACGACGACGCGGAAGACGAAGATCAAAGTGGCGACATGGACGACGACAAGGAGAAGTCGAGCGCCGCCGACGATGGAAGATCTCCGCAAGTTTACAGGGGCCACAGGAACGCACAGACGGTGAAGGGCGTCAACTTCTACGGGCCGAACAGCGAGTACGTGATGAGCGGCTCCGACTGTGGTCACATTTTCATCTGGAAGAAGCGTGGAGGAGCTCTCGTGACGATGCTCAAGGGAGACAGGCGGGTCGTGAATTGCCTCGAGCCTCATCCTCACACCGCGTTCCTGGCGACGAGCGGAATGGACAAGACGATCAAGCTCTGGGCTCCAACCAGCGTGGATCGAGAACCATTTCCTCCAAATGCTGACAAGGTAAGTTCTCCTGTTTTCGAGTGAGTCTTCTCTCCACCATTGTCTTTAACTTCGTGCAGATCATGGAGAGGAACAAGCGAAGCCGCGAGGATCTGTCGAACGTCCCGTTCACGCCCGAGATCATCATGCGAGTTCTCCATCTCCAGAGCGCCCGATTCGTCGACCCGGAGGCGCAGAACCAAGACGACGCGCAGGAGCACAACGAAGAAGAAGGCTACTACAATCTCATATCCACGGAGAACTCGGACGAGGACAGCTCGGACGATAGCCTCGGAAGTCCGCGCGAGTGTATCATAAGTTGAGGGGGGGAAAAGGAAAAGTGGTCGTTGGCCTTGGTCAACGAACTTTCTATTTCCATCGGTCGATTTTTTTGACCGTCGTCAACGCACGTCAAGGGTGTTATATTCTAATTCTAAAACTGCCCTAAAAATTATCCGGCCGAATTGAATATTCGATCTTTGTAATTATTTAAACATTAAATATCTGGAAAACAATAATATATTACAAAATAATATCAGTATCCAAATAAGCAAATGCAAATTATTCTATAGGTTTTTAACTGGTATATTCCAATCCGGCCGAATGAAATATTCGCAGTCCGTGGAGTATATAAATGCAAGACCTGCGGCGATAGGGCTTTTCTTTGGGGGCCTCTGGCGGTTGAGCTCGGGAGGATTGCTTGCCTGTGTGCCCGCTTCTTCCTTCTAACGATTTCTGTCGCTTGTGGCGTAGATGGAGCTGGATCTGGATGGCGCCCATGGTGAGTGATCGCATCTCTCCTTTGCTTGCTTGATTGTTTTGCTGTGGAGCTTGGTTTTTCTTGCTTGGGTGCTCTCTTTCTCCTCTTTGCCGCAAGAAGGCGAAGAGCTCGACTAGATTTCCCACGCCTCCAGCAGCCCACCGGACAAAGTCCGGCCCGACCTGGGGACATCCTGGCTCGGGCGTTTTCCTTTGGAGGCGGCGCCTCCAAATGGGACTCGTGGGTAATTTGCAAGAGGGGGCTGCCGCGCTGGTGGAGGTACTCGGCGAGCGCCTCTACCAGGCTACCGTGGCGGCCTCCACAAATGTCCAAAAATCTAAAGAAGCCTGCTCTTTTGTTGTTCTTACAAGGTCTCTCTTCTCCAAGTCCAAGAAAACGGATCTCTACTCCACGATGAAGTGCTGGGGATTCAAGCCAAATGCCTTGAAGGCTTGTGCCGCTCTGGCAGCTCTCTCTCGAGGATGGATTGCTTGGATCGGGCCAACGGCGGTGTATTGGACCAAACCTCTTCGTCTCGTAGAAATGTCCCAAGTGTGAGAACTCCAAGGTTGTGTTTGATACTGGAATTCTTTGATAGTGGTGATGGGGAGCGGCTCTCGAGGCTTTGTGAGAACTTTCACCTTCCAGGATCCCCAGACCGAAAACAATCCATATCACAGGTTCATCTACACGTCCTTCCAGGAGCGAGCCACTGCCATCTCTCACGGCAACACTGCTCGCCACGCCAAGGAGCACGGAGACCACAAGCTCGCGACTGTTTGCGGCCTCATCGCATCCAACGAAAAGCGGCACGAGAATGCTTGCACCAGGATCGTGGAGAAGCTGTTTGAGATCGATCCGGAGGGCGCAATGCTGGGGCTGGAGGACATGATGAGGAAGATCTCCATGCCGGCTCATCTCATGTACAACGGTTAGGACAAGAACCTGTTTGAGCACTTCTCTTTGGTGGCACAGAGGACGGGGGTGTCCACTGCCAAGGATTACGCAGGAATTCTGGAGCACTTGGTCAAGAGATGGAATGTCGAGTCCATCACTGGATTGTCTGCTCGTGCGCAAAAGGCCCAGGAATTTGTGTGTGGTCTCCCTCCTCAGATCTTGAGACTGGAGGAGCGAGCTCAGAGCAGGGTGAAGAAGGGCCCCAAGACTAGAACGTTTAGCTGGATTTTCAATAGGGAAGTCGTTCTCTAGGCGTAAAAGGTAAAAGGTGTACATTCCAATAATTTGCTTTGTTTTATTTTGTTTAGACACCAAACAGTCCAACTAAAATAAAAGAGTTTATAAGAAACATGTGCATTGTTTAATACATTTTCTTCTTTTGATTGTTTAGGAATTAACCAATGGATATACATAGAATATATTTGAATATTTGAACAGGGGTGTGAGGTCTAGTTATGCCATAAATTAATATTGTGATTTTGATATCTGATCAAATTAGTGAGTATCAAAATCCCAATATTAGTATATGGCATAATTAGACCTGAAGTGATGACCACTTGCTCCTGTATATAAATTAAGACTTTTGGATTAACATTTCTGTATTCCATTTTTGTATTTCATACACTCACCACAGTTAATATTCATTTAAATTTTCTGAATAAAATATATTCTAACTTATTCTACCATCTAATGGTTTATGATATTTATATAATTTATAAAATTTGTGAGTAAGTTAGTCACTTTTCTTATTATGGTTTCTCCAGCATTAGTCTTTCAGAATAGTGGAGGGGTGATGTCCCAATGTAATCTCTTGCTGATATCCTTATTAATGTGAACAAAGCGAGAAAGAATCTATAATTGATAAGAAAGAAGAGGTTAAGCAAATGGAAGAATACCATAGATAAATGAATTAAGTATACCTTGAAACTCTTTGGCTTTTTATTGAGATTCAATAGCAACATTTGGTGGTAACACCATCACTTAGCTAGGTCAGTCATCAAGGAAACACATTGGTAAGTGTGATGAAAATTGTGTCATTTTTTTTCTTTTGGCCATAATTTTTGAGTTTAGATCCATGATAATATAGGTCACTAACATGACAATCCGAAGCTCAAGAATCCAAACCAAGGTTATAGTTTGTCCTTGTTTTTTAAAGCAAGATTTAATTTGATTGAGATGGCAAAGAAAAAGTGTTTATTGATCACGAATTAATGTCAAGGATAATGCCCTATGAGTGGTTTGTGAAGGATTTCACAACAAACATGTATTGTCTCTACTTGTTAGCAACTGTTTATAATTGTAATATATTTTAACTCTCTCTCTTTAATCCAAGGAGAAAAGTGGTAATATATTTAAATTTTATTGCATGATACATCTTAAAATGCTGATCAATAACTTTTATTAAGTCTAAGAGAACTAACACCTTGACAGATGTTGATATCTTCATTGACATGGAAATGAAAATGTTAGTTCCCTTTAGTTTAATAAGAGATTTTAGTCAATGAACCCTTTAGCTGAATAAGGGTTATTATGGATGTTTTACAAGACAAAAAACATATTTATGAATACTTAATACTTGTGTCATTTGCCCATGCATTTGATCTCTCTCCCTTTAACCCACTTGAAAAAGAAGCAATTATTTTATAAGAAAGTCTTCAATGGGTATTTTATCTCTATTCTCCCTCTAAGGTTTTAACAATTCATAGTGACAGCATATGCAAATAACATATCATAATTATATACAACTATATGAGTTTATGAGAATATTTTAATATTTTAAATATTCTTTATGGAGATCTAAGACTTTGTTAAGCTATTTACATATCATACCACATAGTACCTCTATATCATTCCACTCACAAAAATTCTTCATCCCTCTTATTTTTCAAAATTGCTAGTGTTTCTTTTCATGCCCACTACAAGCTTAGTATAAGTTGTATTTTGAAATATTGCTCATGACTTAGATCCTTAGTCTCGATCACCTCCTGGAAATAAAGAAAAAAATAAAAAATCTATTGTCTATACAAGGAATTATAAGAAAAAACAGTTGATATAGATTGCATTATAAGTAATTTTCATTTATAATAATTTAAAACATGTTGTGAGGTCTAAGTGTACGGCTACAATGCTGTATACTAATATTAGGATAGTGGGATTTTGGTAGCCGTCATATTAGTTTCAATCTAAACCATTTGCTCTTGTATATAAGTTAGGGTTTTTTAGGTAATTGATATGCATATTTTATGTATTCCCTTTCCATATTCCATGCACTCACATTGTTGGAGGTGAAGATGTAGCGCATGTAGTTTTGACTCTTTATCTTATGGTGATTTACCATAGGATAACCACGAAGCGGAACCTAAACTCTCTTTGTGCCACGTGACAAATGCCATGTGTCACATGCCACGTGTCCAAAGGATAATGGTGTGGAACCCAAGTTTTAAGGCCTTGGGCAATTGAACAAAGGAATGGTGCCAAACTCCTAAACACGGAGCCAAGGAATAATGGCACTGAGGCACAGAATGACTCCTAAGCATATAGCCTAAAGAGCGAAGTGACAGGAGTATAGAGTGACTTGGAATAGTCCTAGAGCATCTAGCATCCCAATGCCATAACTAACATGCAAAACGGAGGCAAACGGAGTTTGGTGTTATTTTAGCATACTAGTGGCCTAACGCAAGGATATAGGTACTCTATCAGCTAGCATGGTGTGGAGCATAGGCTTAGACCCAAATCGGACACAAAACAAGGATAGGCATGCAAGTAAGAGCTAAACTATACCTTAGGTTAGTTGGCCATGCCCGATCTACCCATTATCCCTACTATACATTTGGAATCCCCCACACCCCACCGACCCCCCCCCCCCCCCCCCCCCGCCCCCCTTTAGGAACACATGCTTTGGGCTTTTACCCCAAGCCTCGCTTAGTATCAAGAGTTAGTCTCTGGGACAAGCTCAAAATTTATTGAATATGGAATGTCCTTAAATTGCAAATTTGGACATAGGATGAACATGTTTAGGAGAATCTCTACATTCTGTAGATATGCCAAAGGAGCAAATCTTGACACATTCCATAAATAGCATTTAGGACCGAAATGAGATTAACACAAAAGGCATGATAGCGAGGGTGTTTAATAGACATGGTAAACTATCATTCAGTGATATTGAGGGACTAATTTCAATATGCAAGGGTTTTTGCCAAGCTAGTGCAAGATAGAGCAAAAGAGAATTAAGAGCCAAGCCGAGTATGCTCAGCTAAAAACACATAAGAGTTCCTACCTTATGTTCATCTGGCTAAGTACAGATGCAAAGTCCAGTTTACTAACACTTGAACAAAAGAGGCTGATAAAGGGAATTAGCAATACTGACCTCCTGCCATCGTGGTAGTAAGAAAAGTGTGTCTATAAAGACTAGTCGACAGGTAACTTTCAATACCTGAAATCATATTTGTGACACTCTCCCCCCCTAAGGAAGATTGACGTCCTCGTTGATGCATACTCGAGTCTAGAATACCGCCAAGGAAACAACTCCAGAAAAAGTTCATGATATTCACACTATGTGAAAAATGCATCAACTTAAATGAGTTAGGGGTAACCTTTTTGTCTAATGCGGATGCACTACCCACTTAAACACCTTTTGGTTGTTGCCGACAAGAAAATAACAAATGGAATTAGCCACCCTTGTTGCTTTGGGTGTCACCTAGCTTACAAAAGTGTGATATGCCCTACCCGCAAGTGGCATAAAGAGAGAAGCCAGAGGCCCCAACCCTCATGAGCAAAGAAACAAAAACCCGTTGGTAGGGTTTAGATAGAGTACTGTAAACAGGCAGTTAGAATTGCTTACACAGTCACGCCCTTTTAACAAAATAAAGAATATTGACAGAGAGACAAGTGATGTGACCAGTTGACAAAAGCTACCCCATAAGCTATATATTACAACTAGCAAAGGTGAACTATTCCACGATAGAAAAGGAGTGTTTAGCAGTAGTCTAGATTCGAGAAACTTCATGTATGTCTACATGGTGCTCGGACGTTACTGGAAGGTGATCATGCTGTCATTACTTTATTATTGAAGCGAAAAAACATAGTTAGTCATATTGCTCGGTGGGCTTTGAAGCTTTAGATATATAATTTTGATGTTATTCATCACCCAGGGAGTTTTATGATTGATGCTAATGCCCTTTTTCGAGCTTTTCTTCCTTCTTTGCTCTCTTCTCATGTTTCTGATGAGTCTATTGTTCCAACATCTGTGGATTTTCTAAACGAGAATTCTGTGATGTCGGCAGCTGTTATACTTGACGTTTAGTGTCCACAAGGTGTAAAACAAGATTTACCTTCTCTTGATAAAGTTCACGAGGCTCAAAAGATTGAACCATGAATTTGAAGGCTTTGAGATGGGTTTGAGAATCTTGCATCAGTTGTTGATAACTTGCTATCCTAGGATTTACATTCTTAATATCACTTTTAAGATAGCCTTTGTTATTTTTTAGGGATAGATCCTGATGATCATTTATAGCTGGTGGTGCTTTTAATCTTTATTCCACGATTTCTCCATGCCTACTGTGATTCTCCTATTTTAAATGGGCATATGGGATATCGTTGTGTGACCAAAAGGCTGCATAGGTTTTTTTATTGGCCAGAAATGTGACGTGATATTATTCAGTATATGCATAGCTACGTTTATTGCCAAACTTATAATACACTCCCTCGTGCTGCAGAAAGATGGTTGAAATCAATTGCAATTTCCCATCCATTTGAGTTAGTGGCGTTTGATCTTATAGGACTTTTTCCATGATCAACTACTAGCAATAAGTATGGTATTATTGCTTCTAATTACCTGACTCATTGGGTGGAAATTGGTGCTCTTATTAGTGCCTTTGCAACTGTTATTGGATACTTTCTTCTCAATTGAGTGGTGTTCCAACATTCTTATCTAGAGTGGATTCTTTCAAATAATAATCCTGCATTTATGGCTAATGCATTTCATGTTTTGATGTCTTGGTTGGTGATATACGACACTTTCACGAGTGTTTATCATCTATAGTCAGATGGTTTGGTGGAATGGCTCGTTCAGACATTCAAAGGGATGATTGCAAAATATATAAACTTTTAGCATTTGGATTGGGATGGTTATTTGCCATTTCTTTAGTATATATATGTCACAAGAGTGTAGAGTTCTATTGGTGCTTTACTATATAAATTCCTATATGGTCATGGTCTAATATTACCAACGAAGTTGGGTTTACCTTCATAATTGTCATGAGTTGCCGATGCTAGGTTGTGAATCAGTATTTGACGAGCATTCTTCCACTTGTTTGAGTAGAGTCTTTTGAACACCTAAGTCGCATACAAATGGGACAACAATGGTGCTATAACTTCCATCATCATCCACCTACAAAGTACAAAGTGGATGACTTCGTGTTAGTTTATTTTCCCATTTTATGGTATGTGGTTTATTTAAGGGGCTCCTTGCTAAGTGGAAAGGACCGTATTGGGTATTGCGACAAATTAGACTACAAATTTATAAGGTTTAGCATAACATTTAGCAAATTTATCCTTTAAAAATTATGTATGTGTAGTAGTTAAAACACTTCATATAAAAGGATCAAGAACAATTGATACCACCTACAGATCCACCGATTCCTCCTCTTAATGTTCTTCCAGATCCTGGCCCCTCTATGAGAGAACCCTAATAGTCTTCTATTACTCCGTAAAGAGGGGATTATATGAAGTCTAAGTGTATAGCTATGATATTATATACTAATATTAGTGTAATGGGATTTTTATAGCTATTAGATTCATTTCAATTTGAACCACTCGCTCTTGTATATTAGGTAGGATTTTTGGGTTAATTGATATACACATTTTTTTGTATTCCCTTTCCATATTCCATGCATTCATAATGTTTATAATGTCAAAATTAGCATCTTATATTTAATAAACCTTATCTGGAGGGGCTAATGTTTTAAAGATAGCTTTTTATCTATTGTAATAATATGCCCAAAAATAAAAGTTCTACTTCACTTTATTTTTCTTTGAAAATGAAAAACTAGAATTGAGAAAAAGAGCCAATATTAAAATTTAATAAAGTCCATATGAAATAGTCTATTTAGTTTAAATTAGAAAATAGCTAAATAACACTTGTTTAAAGAAGTTTTTTTCAGTATTGAAATTAAAGTGACCTTGAGCCAGCTTCTTCTTGATAAAAGTGGTTAAGACAAATAAAGGTCAATAAATTATTCATGACTAGACCTAAATCATCTATATGCTGATTTATATGATTATTAATAAAATGTTACTGGAAGTTAAAGTCAAATAATTTATCAAAATAATGGCTCATGTAATTTTGTAATTATTTAAACATAAAAATCTCATAAATTAAGAGCCATTGCATATAATAGCGCTCCAAATTATATTAAATTTAGATCATATAAATTGTAACACAAAACCACTAAAAAGACTATGCGAACACAAATTTTTAACTGCTGTCTAGGTATATTCCAATCCGCCCGAATGAAATATTCGCAGTCCGTGGAGTATATAAATCCAAGACCAAGGGCTTTTCTTTGGGGGCCTCTGGCGGTTGAGCTCGGGAGGATTGCTTGCCTGTGTGCCCGCTTCTTCCTTCTAACTATTTCTCTCGCTTGTGGCGTAGATGGAGCTGGATCTGGATGGCGCCCATGGTGAGTGATCGCATCTCTCCTTTGCTTGCTTGATTGTTTTGCTGTGGAGCTTGGTTTTGGTTGCTTGGGTGCTTTCTTTCTCCTCTTTGCCGCAAGAAGGCGAAGAGCTCGACTAGATTTCCCACGCCTCCAGCAGCCCACCGGACAAAGTCCGGCCCGACCTGGGGACATCCTGGCTCGGGCGTTTTCCTTTGGAGGCGGCGCCTCCAAATGGGACTCGTGGGTAATTTGCAAGAGGGGGCTGCCGCGCTGGTGGAGGTACTCGGCGAGCGCCTCTACCAGGCTACCGTGGCGGCCTCCACAAATGTCCAAAAATCTAAAGAAGCATGCTCTTTTCTTGTTCTTACAAGGTCTCTCTTCTCTAAGTCCTGGATTGCTTGGATCGGGTTGTCACCGAGGCGTTTCCCGGTCTACAAACCTCCGCATGTAAATCGATTGTAGCACCTCTTCGTCTTGTAGAACTCCAAGGTTGTGTTTGATACTGGTCCATAAATTCTTTGATAGTGGTGGTCGGGAGCGGCTCTCGAGATCTTCTCCCGCACAGAGGCTTTGTGAGAACTTTCACACGCACTGGCGATTTGAGAAAACGGAACTGAGATCGAGGGGAATTTATTAAGTAATTTAATAATGATACCAAAATCCTTTAAACTAAACGGTTTGAAAAAAACTTTCCTGATTAGGGCTGCGGGAAGAAATGCTAGACGACACGCTGATTTGCAGGAAGAACTCGACTAGGCCTGGCCTAGAAGCGTTCCTCAGCAAGATGGCGCAGGTATACAAGCTCAAGTGCGTCAGACTCAAAGCATGTTAACGACTGTGTGGCTGGGTTTGGGGCATTTGCGCATCTCATTAGCGAGGTATACAGCATCAAGGATTGCACCAGGTGCCGACAGGGATTTGTCAAGGATGTGTCCAAGCTTGCTAGGTGCAACATGAAGAGGCTAGTCTGGGTGGATGATGTTCGCCTCAATTTCAGGCTGTGCCCGCACAATGGCATCGAGATCAGGCCATTCAAAGGAGAAGCAGATGACAAGGAGCTTGAGAAACTGACACCTCTTTTGCTCGAGCTGTCCAAGGTGGAGGATGTGACGCAGTTCCTGTGGAATGGCCAGCCAAAGGTGTTGGAAGCACAAGAGCAGTCTACTAAGAATCTTGGCAAGGCCAAGCCCAAGAAGAAAGGGAAATGAGAACACCAAATTTTGTTCACAATTTGTGTGCCCTAAAAAAGATGGCGGAAGAAGGCAAACCCGTTTTGGTGCTAGACCTAAACGAGACGCTGGTATGGAAGAAGGACGCGAGCACAATTGTGAACAGACCTGGGCTGGAGGCGTTCTTGAGCAGGATGGCAATGGCCTACTCCGTTGTCATCTTCAGTGTCTCGGATTCCAGGCACCTGGATCAATCGGTGGCAGGGTTTGGGGCGAGTGCAAAGCTTATAACCGACGTTTATGGCATTGAGGATTGCACCAGGACGAGGACCGGTTTCATCAAGGATGTGCGCAAGGTAAAGGTCAGGCATGAGTTGAAGCGGCTAGTGTGGGTGGACAATGAAAGGTTCCACTTCAGGCTGTGCCCGCACAATGGCATCGAGATCAAACCATTTAGAGGAGAAGCAGATGATGAAGAGCTTGAGAGATTGACACCACTTTTGCTCAAGCTTTCTCAAGTGGACGATGTCACGCAGTTCCTGTGGAATGGCCAGCCAAAGCAAGAAGCACAAGAGCAATTTACTGGGAAGAATCCCAAAACCAAAAAGAAAAGATAAGACAAAGCTTTGCGTTTTTCTAGACTATGATATAGTTTAAGCAAGTTTGAACAATTTAGAATCGACAGATAGTATCCTAATATGATATATTGTCTTGCTAGTGTTGATCATGTTGATTCGAACATCCTTGTGAAATCTGGTGATAAATCGTTTTCGTGATCCAACCTGTTTGTAGAGAGCTCTAGAAACTTGTGTGGACTTGAAGCACAATACAAATTAATAAAAAATAAAAACCCCGTACTTATTTGAAAATCACTAGAACACTAAACTCGTAATGTACACCTTTTCTCGGGTAGATTCCAAAGCGTTGTTCGTCTAGAGCGCAACTTCCCTGTTGAAAATCCAGCTAAACGCTCCAGTCTTGGGGCCCTTCTTCACCCTGCTCTGAGCTCGCTCCTCTAGTCTCAAGATCCGAGGAGGGAGACCACACACGAAATCCTGGGCCTTTTGCGCGCGAGCAGACAATCCGGTGATGGACTCGACGTTCCATCTCTTGACCAAGTGCTCCAGAATTCCTGCGTAATCCTTGGCAGTGTACACCCCCGTCCTCTGTGCCACCAAAGAGAAGTGCTCGAACAGGTTCTTGTCCTGGCCGTCGTACATGAGATGAGCCGGCATGGAGATCTTCTTCCTCATCATGTCCTCCAGCCCCAGCATCGCGCCCTCCGGATCGATCTCAAACAGCTTCTCCACGATCCTGGTGTAAGCATTCTCGTGCCGCTTCTCGTCGGCTGCGATGAGACCGCAAACAGTCGCGAGCTTGTGGTCTCCGTGGTCCTTGGCGTGGCGAGCAGTGTTGCCATGAGAGATGGCGGTGGCTCGCTCCTGGAAGGACGTGTAGATGAACCCGAGATATGGATTGTTCTCGGTCTGGGGATCCTGCAAGAATGGAAAAACCGACTTTTGAGTTCCCGAGAAAGAAGAAACTCTGCTCTTACCATTCCAGAACCGATCAAGTACTGGATCGTCTTCTCGATTTGCTTCATGTCGACTCGTCCAGTGAGGTAGAGATACTTGTTGAGCAAATCGCCATGACGATTCTCCTCGGCGGTCCAGGCACGCCCCCACACTGCCCACGGACTCGGGCTCGCACCGGTCTCGTCGCGAGTGCCGTCGAGAGTGTTGAGCATCGTCAAGTAAGTTGGCAGTGCTTCCTCGGTGATCATGTCCCCGACGAGGCAGACGAAGTAGTCGTCGGGCAAGCACTCGGCTCGCTTCCTCAGCTCGCGGACCTCATCGTAGAAGCTCTCCGAGGATGGCTCCGGGAGATAGTCCTGGGGCTGCCAGCATTTCTCCACCGGCCGGAGGAATGGGAGGATGGATTCCTCCGCCCAGCTCTCGAGCGACTTAAACATCTCGATCTTCTCAGGAGAGAGCGAGTGCATGATCTGCGAAGACTTGCTGCTGTCTTGCTTCGCGACGCTCTCCCTGTGGATGCAAAGAGAGAAAGAAAAATCCAAGCTTTCATGAAAGAAGAAAAGAAAACAAAGCGATCGATACTCACGTTGCTGTAGCTGCGGCAGTCATCGCAATCGCTGGTAGCTTGCCGCTCCTCACCGAAGTAGAGACCTTGATTGGCTTGGCGAGATGGATCTCATGGCTGGGAATGAGAGCGCTCCTCATGGGAGTCCCGCAAACGTTGGCGATGGCAGCCATTGGAACCAGACAAGGCGAGCTGCAAGAAATGGAGTGAGATTGAGAAGAAATCGCGCATGCAAGGGCATGCATTCTCGATCGAGCGAGAGAAATGCCGATAGATCGAGCAGCGAGATCGAGAGCTCACCTGCGAGGAGAGGGAGGATTCGTCGCCGCCGAGGCCGATGCTTGTGTCCTGGAGCTAGGACCAGGTTTAAAACCCTATGCTCGGAGGCATGCCCACCACTTGAAAGAATATTCGCCGCTGGCGGCTGCCGCCGTTTGCCACGTGGCGCGGACGTGGAGTTCCACGCTGGAACAGTACTACCGGTGAAAAGGGTTAAGAGGCTGTCACCTATCACAAATAGGGCATTTGGTCTAGTGGTATGATTCTCGCTTCGGGTGCGAGAGGTCCCGAGTTCGATTCTCGGAATGCCCCGCTTTGGATACTTAATTTATTTATTTGATTTGTTATTATTAAATATTAACCATATATTCCTTCAAACCATATTAGAATTTTGATGTCTATAGTATAAAAGTTTTCAAATTAGGACGACGACCATGGAGCATTTTGTTCTTCTAGTTTTGCTGCTCTCTTGTTCTATAGCTTTTGCAGTAAGTAGTATCAATTAATCTTTTTTCTACGATCTAGCGCACTTTGATCTATAGCAGAATGAATCCAAGCTTTACATTGTGCATCTGGAAGCTCGGGACGAATCTCTACACCCCGATGTGGTGACTGAGACACACCATTCAATCCTTGGAGAAGCCTTGGGAAAGTATAACCACTAATTCTAAATCTTGGAGGTTTGTAGCTGAATCTTTGCAACTCAGGTCAAGGCATGAAACCAAGGATCATATTGTCTATAGCTACAAGCACGCGTTGAATGGCTTTGCTGCCAAACTCACTGTCGAACAAGCCGAAAAGATATCCAGTAAGTTTCCAAAGTCCTCTCTTACCTTATAACTTTTCTTCGTCTTTTCGTTTCTTTGAGCAGATTATCCCGGTGTTGTAAGGATCAATCCTAGCAGAACATACAAACTCCTCACGACCAGAAGCTGGGACTACATGGGAGTGAGCGGAGACAAATCAAAGCATCCATTCATACCCTCGAATCACTCCTTATGGGACCAGGGCAAGCACGGCAAAGATGTCATCGTTGGGCTGATAGATTCTGGAATCTGGCCGGAATCTGAGAGCTTTCGAGACCACGGCATGAACAAAGCTCCCAAACGATGGAAGGGAACATGTCAGCCGGGGCAATTGTTCAACACTTCCAATTGCAACAGGTACTAATAAGAATTAGTAACAACTAACAACTAATGTTGTATGTACTCAAGGAAGTTGATTGGAGCGCGGTACTACTATAAAGGATACCTGGATACCATAGATAATTCTACACAATTTTTAACATTGTCAGCAAGGGACGAAACAGGGCACGGAACGCACACCGCGTCAACCGCAGTCGGCCGCTACGTAAAAGATGTATCCATCAATGGATTGGCGCGTGGAACCGCTGCCGGAGGAGCTCCAAAGGCGAGGCTTGCAGTCTACAAAGTGTGTTGGGGCAACGAGAACCAGTGCTCCGGTGCTGATATTGTTGCGGGTATAGATGATGCCGTGGCTGATGGAGTGGATATTCTATCAATGTCTTTGGGGGGTGGCGACGAGGAGTTTTATGACGAGACAGCCCAGGCAGCACTCTACGCCATTGCCAAGGGTGTTGTTGTGGTGGCAGCAGCCGGAAACACCGACTTTACATCCATACACAACACCGCGCCATGGTTTATCACGGTGGGAGCCAGCAGTATAGACAGAGATAACACTGGGCGAGTTTCTCTGGCGAATGGCAAGACTTTTAAGGTGTTATATAGGCTTACATCTCTGCATTCATCAAACTGTTTGTATTACAGGGAAGGACATTGACTGCCCATGGAACTCGCAAGTTCTGCCCAATTGTTTCCAGTGCACAAGTGAAGGCAGAGAACTCGACCAGTGCTGACAGGTGAACACTGATATATTATTGTTGTTTTCATACTAATACGTTGGCTATACTATGATCAGCTTGCTTTGCAAAGAAGGAACTTTGGATCCCATGAAAACCAAGGGGAAGATCGTGCTCTGTATGCGCGGCGGCGGCATCCCCCGGGTCAACAAGGGTGCAGAAGTGTTAGCAGCGGGTGGAAGCGGGATGATTTTGTACGAAGACCCATCACAAGAAATGGAGCTGGAGGAAGATCCGCATGTCGTGCCTGCCGTGCACGTTTCATCCAGTGATGGCCTCTCGATCCTCTCCTACATAATCTCGTCGAGGTTGCACAGATTTTGTCCTGATCTCAAGATCCTAACGTTTGTTTTATTTTGATCCTCTTCTCAGCTGTCCAATGGCGTATATCTATCCAGGAAGAACTGAATATATTACGGGCAGACCACCAGCGGTTGCAGCATTTTCATCTCGAGGTCCAAGCATGGTATTCCCTTCAGTGATCAAGGTACGCATCATACAAAAATTCTTAAAACCATGTTGTAACACTATGATGGTTGGCAGCCTGATATCACAGCACCTGGAGTTAAAATTATAGCAGCATGGATAGGTGGCTCCAGAAGTTACAATATAGTTTCAGGAACTTCAATGGCTTGCCCTCACGTTACTGGTGTGGTTGCTCTCCTGAAATCATACCACCCCGATTGGAGTCCCGCTGCAATCCATTCGGCATTGGTAACAACAGGTAAGAACTTCTCGCCAACTTGTCTTTAACCCTTGCTTCCCCATATTTCAGCTTACATGAGCCCCGGATTTGTGAATGCCACACCTTTCGACTATGGAGCCGGCCACCTTAACCCGTATGCTGCAGCCCATCCGGGTCTCGTCTACGATTTGGATCCGAAGGAGTACGTTGAGCGCTTTCGTATATGTGGCATTGTTGGTTATTGCGACACGTTTTCAGCGGTCAGCGAGCTCAACTATCCGTCCATTTCGGTGCCGGAGCTCTTTGAAAGCTACACCGTGAAGAGGACCGTGACCAACGTCGGTGACCACCGATCGATCTACCGAGTGAGCGTGGAAGCTCCTCCGGGAATTGCTGTGACCGTCACCCCGTCGGTGCTGGAGTTCACCCGCAAGCGACAGACGAAATCGTTTGAGGTGAGGTTTGAGCTCGAGAGGAAAGTTAGAACCCCGGACCTCCATGTCCATGGGTTCATCTTTGGCTCCATGACTTGGAAGGATCACAGGCACACGGTTAGAAGTCCCATAGCTGTTAGCTATGGAGTTAAGTTCGAGACTCCTCCATAACACTTCTAGAATTTGTATTTGGTCTTTGGAATATGATCGAGAAAACAAGAAGTATGATCGAGCAAACAAGTTCTTGGTTGGCAGGGACGAGCACTTTAGATCTCTATGCAGCGAGCAAGCTCGTGAGAAAGCATGCCAAGCGTGGCTCTATGGTGGAAGCTCGGAGAGTGTTTGATTCTCTCCACCACCGCGATCTCGCGCTATGGAACGCTTTGATCCTCGGGTATGCCGAGAATGGAGAGCCCGAGCTTGCTCTGGAGTTGTTCTCTGGAATCCAATCCTTCAACGAGCGAACAATCCTTGCGGCGATCAAAGCTTGCGCTTGCATTGCCGAGAGAGAGGTCGATCATGGGCGATTTGTCAAGATCAAGGCGCTGGAGAAGGGCATGGCTGTTCATCGCTTGGCCGCGAGAGAGGGCTGCGACTCCAACGATTTCGTGGCCAGCAGCTTGGTTTTTATGTACTGCAAGTGTGGCTGCTTGCGCGAGGCCGAGCGAGTTTTCTCCTCGATGATCCAGAGCAATGCCGTGGCGTGGAGCTCGCTCATGCATGGGTACGCCGACAATGGACTCGCGCGGGAGGCTCTCAATCTGTTCGAGGTCCTCCAGCTCGAACACGATCGTCACGCCATGGCTGGCGATCCCTGGGCCTTCGTAGCAGCCGCGAAAGCTTGCGCCATCCTCGCCACACAAGAATCTTGCCAGGACTTCAATGAAAAGCTCGTTCCCATGGAATCCCTCGAGAAGGGAATGGCGATCTATGCTCGAGCCATAGAAAAATCCTCCCATTCCAGCACTTTCGTGTCAAATTCACTCATAGATATGTTTCTCAAGTGTGGAAGCGTGGTTGACGCTCAAAGAGTTTTCACTCGAATGGAGTTTCGTGATAGCGTGACTTGGAACTCACTGATCTTGGGATATGTATAACGAGTCAGCACTGAGAATCTTCTTTTGCTTCAAACGAAAAGGTGGCGAGCCCAACTCTTGGACCTTTGTTGCCGCATTGAAAGCTTGTAGCAATCTCGCGGACTTGGAAACCGGGAGAGAAATCCACAAGGAGATTTGCCGGCGTGGAATGGAAGTTCTCGAGCCTATAGTCGTGTCTTTGCTGGATTTCTATGGAAGAAATGGAAGTCTGAGAAGTAGCCAACTTATTTTCGATTCCTTATCATCTGGAACTACCACCATTCTTGCATGGAATGCCCTGATAGCAGGATACAGTCACCAAGGAAACACAAAGCTCGTCTTCCATCTCTTTCAAGCAATGGAAGCCGAATTTGTAGCAGCCGATGGGATCACCTTTGTATCACTTCTAGCTACTTGCACCCGTGCTGGATCAACCGATAAAGCGTCACGAATTTTCAAGAAAATGGTGCAAGAGTATGGAATCGTTCCTGGTATTGAGCACTATAACTGTGTTGTGGACCTGTTTGGAAGGCTCCACCGGTTGGATGAAAGTTTGGCGGTCGTGAGAGGAATGCCTCTCCAGCCAAATGCCGTGACATGGACGAGCGTACTGGATTCATGCTCCAAAGCCTGGATTGATAGAAGGGAGTTAGCCGAGAGAGACAATCTATAAAGTTTTAGCTCGTTACTTCTCAGAACTCGCTGCCTTGTTGCTTCCAAATAGCCTAGTTCTTTTGGCAACAGCGATCGCGCTCTTTCAAGCATTTGAGCTCCCATTTCATCAGAGTTCTACAAAAGCAGCCAGCTGAGAATAAGAAAATACAAGAAAAAAAATCACTGACCTCGAACGCCATTAAAAGAGTGTTACAAGTATCCAGTAGCATGTACCCGCGTTGCAACTACAAAGAGAGAGGAGCTTAACCTTCCGAAAGAACAAATCTGCACTCACCGCATTCTTTTCTTGCTTGATGACAGCGACAATTTTTTCCAGAACCATAGCACCAAAGCTCTGCAGTTCTTCTTGATATCCCGACTCTCCAAAGTACAACGTATCGTTGCTATCTACCTGCATCCACTTTTCAGCAAGGCACGGAGTGACTTTTAAGAAAAAGACCTGCTCATTTGCTACATGGTATGGAAGATCGTCTTGAGACAATGTCGAGACTGTAGAGAGAATACCGAGGAGGACTTGCAGTCTCTTCCTTCCTTTCAGTAACCTGTAATAGAATTCAGAGAGTAAATTTATCCATACTCTGCTTGTTCCTACCAGGGTTTGGCATCGAGCAAGTTCACAAGGCCTCTTGGAAAATACAACACACCGAGTTCCGGATCCCCTGAAAAAACCAAGAGAACCTCAAATCTTTTTAATTGATCCAGAGTTTCCATTACCTGGCACCACTACCAGAAACGAACAAAGCTTCAGTAGTAAAGGTCGTAGCTCATCTTCGTTATTGGAATCTGAACAGAAAACCGTGAAATTGTTACAAGATAGCGTATGCATGGCTGCTACCTTCGGAACGAAGTTCTTGTAAGCAAAGTATTCCGGATTTCAAGAGATTCAGAACATAAGATAGCAGGCCGTTCATCAGAGCAACCTGAGAAGAAAATGCATTTGGCAATGGAAATAATTCCAGGACTTACCTCACCAGTCGTGATATAAAGCTGAACGCGCACAGTAACATCGGTGATTGACGGTATAGTGATCTCGTTGAATGCTATACACGACTTCACAAAATCCATGCTCGCTTCGGAATGACAGCCTTTCCAGAGTTTAAATGTCGACATAGCTATGCCATGGCTAGCACGGACAACTTCCTCCTGGAATACAAGAAAAAAAGTAAGGGCAGTCTTTGAGATCAAAAACATTTCAAATACCTCTCAACTCACTCTAACAGCGTCCATCCTCGGAAAAGCCGCACGACACTCAACAAGAAAATCTAGCTGGGTCTCGAGATTCTTCCCGTAATCAGCCTGCAAAACATAGCCAGCTGACCAATAGCAAAAGAAGATTTACACGCACCAGTTGAATAAATCTGATCACCAGACGAGCTATTTGCCTTCGATCGTCATCACTACTAAAACTGTCTAAGGAATCATGGAGCACTTTAGTTGATTCAAACAAAAAGTTTTTGCAGACTGGATCAAGCACAGGCATGTTATTCCTGACATTCAGAATCAGTTGCGCATAAATAGAGAAATAAAAAGACACTACCTGGAGACCGAATTCAAAATACACTTGTAGACATTAAGCCGGAAATCCCCATGAAACATATCAAGAATGTCCATGAATGTCTCCTGATGTTGTTTATTACAATTAAAAAGTGTAAAACTCTCGAATTTTGTCCCTGGAGAAAAGTTGAAAACTCACCAGACCAAATAGGTGTTTAAAGTCTGCGTAATGGTCAATCAGCTTTAGAGCAATGAACTCAAGGAACTCCATAACTTCATGATCAATCTCCCCGTCGCTTAAGTGCTGCTTTAAATCACGAAGCACTACGATAAGCTCTGTTTCCTGAAAAGAAAAGCGCACTGTTTATAAATTCATGGACAATTAACTCGAATAGCTTACTGAGCAACACTGAAGAATGTATTCGACAAACGCGTTGGCGACAGCTACATAGTCTATTAAAGATGTGTACTTTGTAGTCGCCTGAAACTTACAATGTCATATCCACAACTTGAGAAGTCAGTGGCATACCTTCCATACATCACTGAGAACTTGAAGTCGAAATTCACGAGGAGGTGGACAGTCGCACATTTTTCTTCCGAGCGTGACAAAACTGGCACTCTAGAAATGACAAACTGAAGTGAGTGAATGCCAATCTTGCAAATGCAATAAGCGAAACCTGCGGCATTGAAATGTCGGTAGAGCTTTTCACCAATCTGGAGATCTCAATGGCATGGTTAGCCACGAATGTGGCAGGAAGCTGCTTGAGCAAGTAATGCACCAATATTGACAAAGGCTTCATTCCATCTTTCTCTCGTTTGCCACAAAGAGCAACCACAACTTCTTGTGTTTCCTCCTGCCAAAATGATCACATAGAAGATTAGTCGAAAATTAAAAAAAAAACAATACCTGCTTTAGAAGCTTGAATATGCAGTGGAGCACCCACTCGAACATTGGTTCGACCAGTCTCACATACGTTTGTTTCTGAATGTGCAGCTCTAAAAGATTCTGATTGAACTCCCCAGCAATTAATCTGTATAACAGCATTGTAAAATCATGGATACCACTAACCAGATAACCTGAGAGAATGTAATAGTTAGTGTAACAGTAGTCCCAGCATTTTTATTACCTCTTTCCATCGGCAAAAGTGCAAGCCCTTTACGCGATAAGTATATGTAAGTATAGGCAGACGTCAAAGGACTTCCCAACCCTCTGACCATCGAAGACAACCTCTGAATGGTGGAGATAGGATCTCGCTCTAGAAATTGCAAGCACCGCAGGATAGCAATTTCGAGGTATCTAGAAAGGAGATGCAATTTAGCACCGCAAGGCTACAGTAAACGTCAGGACTTACATCCGAGGCAAGAGCTCTTTGATGGACCCAATTTTTAAAAACCAGTTGTTACATGTATCCTTCGCCTCCTGAGAGATGTCGCTAGATGAAAAATCCACTGCAACACAAGAATGAATCCCACAGAAAAAAATCCATGCACGCAGAAAGACCTGGCAGTTCAATGGTATTCCCGTTTTCATCGGTCTCGGCCTTTTTCTTGATACGCATCCACACTAAATCGCCGACATTATCCAGGACATCAGTTACGAGCACGAACAACACGGGATAGAAGTGTGCCACGGAAGTGTCCATCAAAAGCCTGGCTACCTGCGAAAACGAAAAGAGAGAAAACTTGTAAGTGAGCCACGAGCAGGTACCGTCTCAAACCTTGATGGTAAGTCTCAAAGCAGAAACGCGTTCTTCGCTCCTCCAAGCTTCAGCAATCTCTTCGTTAAGATCCTTCAGTCTCGTCACACATTCTTGCTGCGTGAGAATCTTGACATCCTCGAAGGCCTTTCTCTCGGGATCTTCCAGCTGCTGGAGATGTGTGCTCGTTCCGGCGGCTGAACAGAACACGATATGATCTGTTGGACAGTCATCCTACGTGCGTAAGTTACCTTTGTGATCTTTCGCAAGAACATCAAAAGCCTGCAATGAGAACACGAAAGAAATCATAATTCTCAACCATGCACTAGAAAAAGGCCGAAGCTCACCGAGGACATCGTCATGGTGCCAGACGATCCAAATCTCTGAGAAAGTGTGAGCTTATAAGCATCCCAATCCGCCGCTGCATTTTCCACTTGCTCGTCCATGACACTCTTGGAAACCACCCGTCTGGAAGTCTTGGACTTGTGCCGCATTGCCGGAGGAGAAGCCAAATCCGCCTCAGCAAAACCACCCGACCTCAGCGGATCATCAAAGACGACCTCCGCCAAGAGCGGCTCCTTCTCGTCCTGGACAAAACCCTGTCAGAGAGATAATCCACGCATTCATCACCACTGACCCGAAGAACCGCGCAGTGAATTGAGGCGGCCGCAGCGCCGCATTCATGATCCAGCAGCGGATGCGCAGCTGCCGGATGCCGATCCAGGGACGCCGCGGCTCCCTCGAGCTCGTAGCGTCGGGCTCGAAATTGCCCAGCCATGATAAACCCTAAAACAATCCGTACAAGTCTCAAGACGCCGTACACTTGTCTTAATAATAATTCCAATTAAAGTAATTAATTTGTAAGGAATATCCTTGCGAGATATCCAAAGCGCTGACCCGCCAAAAATTATTGGATGTCCCCTTTTAAAAGCTATGGAGATTGACACTCATTCCATCTCCCATGGCATTGCCCGCGAAGATCGAGATCAGCAATGCCATAGCTCTCTACTACTTCCTCTTCCTCCTCGCGCTCCTCGCAATCGCAAGCGCCCAGCAGGTCGTAGATCGCGGCGTCCCATTCTTACTCGCAAGCAATGAAGCCCGCGCATTTGTGATCGCCGCTCTCGCGACGCTAGTGAACACAATCTCCGTGTCAGATCGCTACTCGCCACGCTCAATCTCCGACACGATCTTCCTCGGGACCGGCCGCATCTTCATCCGCCTCTGGTTCTTCAGCGACGACTGCCACGCCACGCCCGATCTCTCTGACTCCTTGCCCGGATTCATCCTCGTCGCCGCCTTCCGCGAGCTCCACGACCGCCTCGCCACCGATCTATTCCGCTGGGGCTACAGCTACATCACTGTGATCGACGGGCGATATGGCATGGAGTACAGCATGGAGGAGGGCATGTACAGCATGGGGGAGGAAGTAAATCCCGCGCAGCTAAGAGCCCTAGATTCCACCCGGAGGGCCGTATATTCGTTGTCGGATGATTGCTTTCCGTACGCCAATATGGTCCAAAGTGGCCCAAGGGCGCGCGTCTACTCGCGGCTCCTGCCCAATCAGGCGATCTGGTCGCCCAACCAGCGGTACAAGCTGGTCATGGAGCGGCATTGCGAGGCTGTACTGTACGATGGCGACCGGGTTTGGGCCACCCCGACCAGGGGCAGGGCGGACGGCTGCTTCTTGCTGGTCCAGCAGGATGGGAACCTGGTGGTTGTCAATCATGAGGTTTGTGTGTGGGCGACCAACACCTTTGTCCCCGGTGATCGTTTTGTTTCCACGATTCTGGCGCTCCAAGATGATAGGAACTTGGTTTTGTATAAGAGCGACGAGCAGGTCCCCGCGCGGGCTTCAAACACTGCTGTTAGATGATGAAAAATCTACAAATTTCCAGGTGAGAAGCTTTGCGTTTGTATGTGCAGGCACAAGATCTTTCATCAGATCAAAAACAAGTTTGATCTTGTTTGATCTCGCTATTCTCTGGAGCGTTAAACGACGCGTTTGAAAATCATGGCTGAGAATCGGTAGCTAGCCCTTGCCCTCGGCTTGGCCCGCCAACTGCCCTTGTATGGAAATTGAGGACTCGCCCTCTCCAAATTGTAGAAATTCTAAGATTTTGATGGGGCGACCAACACCTTTGTCCCCAGTTCGTTTCCACAATTCTCGCAGCTCCAAGATGATAGGAACTTGGTCTTGTATAAGAGCGAGCAGCCTTCAAACACTACGTGTATAAAAGCTCTACCTTTATAGCATGTAATGTAATATATATATATATATATATTGATACTTCAAAGAAGAAGAAAAAAAGAAAGAAAAAGCACTTTACCGAAAGAAGAAAAGAATGAAACAAACGCCATTTTATTCCAGAGGCCGCTGATGTTTATCCACTTTTTTTCTTGGACTCGACGTACTTCTCGGTGGCTTTGAGTGCCTTCTCGAACATGGTGATGAGCTGTAGTAAAAGAAGTTTCCAAAAGTTTTTGTCTCTGCCTAAGTGCGACTTGAAAGAGGAAGCTTACCTCGTCAATCTCTTCGATTGTGATTGTCAACGTTGGAGACATGAAGATGGCGTCTCCCGAGATGCGCACCAGCATTCCTTCCTCTTTGCACTTATCTGCGAAATATGCTGACACTCCTGGATGAACAAAGTGAAAGTTATGTCTAGCATTCGGGATAAGAAACTCGAATCTGTCATTACCCCAGTCTGCTGGAAAGGTGTTTTCCGGACGCTTCCCGTCTTTGAATTCGACTCCAATGATCAAACCAGTCCCACGAATCTGATTGCAGAGTTAGAAAGCCCGCAAGCCGCGCAAATCACAACAAACCTCTCCGATGACTGGACTGCTGGATAGTTTATGCAGTCCTTTCTGAAAGTGAGGAGATACTTTTGCAACATGTCCGGGAATGTCTCTCTCCCTTGAAAAAATCAAACGTCGAAATGGAAAAGTGGATGACAGAGTTGCATTGAGCTTGCTTACTTGTAAATGTGCAATGCTTCCAAGGCAACCGCACAAGGAACGGGATGTCCAGAATATGTAAATCCATGGCCAAGAGAGCCTAGAACACATAAAACCACCTTTATAAAGCAAATGAAATACAAAGTGGAAACTTCTCACCATGCTGGTCACTGAACTTCAAGATAGCATCTGATATTTTTTCACTTACAAGAACAGCTCCAATGGGCATATAAGCGGAAGATAAGGCCTTAAAAAGAGAAGAAAATTACAGGATCAGCGCTTCCTTCTAACTAGTCTCGAAATACATACCTTTGCCATGCTAACAAGATCGGGCTTTATATTGTAATAGTCGCAACCGAACATTGTTCCAAGCCTTCCAAATGCACAAACAACCTTGATTGAAACAAAATTGAATCAGAAACAACTTTCAGATTTAAAAACAAATTCCTGAACCTCATCAGCAATAAGGAGGATGTCGTATTTTTTAAGAATGGGTTGAATCTGCAACTTAGAAGTTAGAAACAGGAAAACAAGCGTTTGGCTCCTTTACCTTGTCCCAGTATGTAGCTGGAGGAGGCATGACACCGCCAGCAGCCATGAGAGGCTCTCCAATGAAGGCAGCAATCTTCAATAGACAGGCTTACTTGCGAAAAAAATTCTGAACCTGGTTGCTTACATTCTCGGGTCCTTCCTTTAGGATGAGCTTTTCCAGATTATCAGCCAATCTCGTGGCGAAATCCTCCTCACTCTCACCTTATATTTAAAAAAAATTAGGAGCAGAAGAAAACTATACAGCTTACCAGGCAAGTGATTTCGCCAATAATGCGGACAGTCAGTATGAACAACAAAAGATGCTGGTGCATCAAAACCTTTATGAAGGTTCGGCAAACTGGACAACAAGTGTAACTCTTGTTAAGTTCCAATAGAAAGAGCAAGAGAATTAGAGAAGTACCCGGAGAGACTGGCTGAAGCATACGTAGATCCGTGGTAGCTACATTAGAAGCAGCGTGAGAAAATATACAAAAAGATACAATCATAGTAAGATTCTCACGCTTTTTCTCGTGCTATAAACTTCTTTTTGTGGGGCTTCCCGATGGCATTGTAGTAGTACCAAACCAATCTCACCTGCATCGCAAGAAAAATGTAGAAAAAAGAAGGAAAAAAGCTAGACACGCACTTGGGAATCGTTCGACTCGGAGCCACTGTTCGTGAACAACACGCGGCTCATTTTAACCTGCGTGAACATCTCCACAAGCTCTTTGGCAAGTTCCTGCCAGTAACAAAACATACGTAACGGCGATTCATGAGATATCCAAAGCAAAAGAGTACCAGCGTGACTGGAGTAGTACGGTTCCAGAAAGAGTGGTAGTACGGGAGAACATCGAGCTGCTTCTTCGCGGCCTCCACAAGGCGAGGTTCGTTTCCTCCTAAAACAATTCAATGCATGCAAGCATGAAACAAAAAGAAGAAGAAGATCTCATACCAAGCGCATTGTTCCAGAGGCCAGCAAGGGCGTCCAGGTACTTGTTTCCATTCGTATCATACACATAAATCCCCTAAGAAATTCGAAGAACACGAGACAATCAAACCGAAATCTCATTAGATCGGCTCAATCCAAGCGCATACCTCCGATTTCTCGATGATGAGAGGCTCCACCTTCACCATCTGCCATCCCGCCGTGAACGGCGACAACATATTGTGCCTGCCATGGAAGAAATCGATCGAAATCTCGGAGAATTTGGAGCTCCAGGGATTGGATCGATAGCCTACCGCTGCTCGAGCGCCTCATCCTTGGCAGCGTCCTTGCCCATTTGTGCCGTAAACCCTCACGACAGACACGTGGCGCTATCATATTGTCTACAAATCTTTGTATAGTCTCAAATGGTCTCTATCAGTTCTACTATCCATTGTTTACAAATTTTTGTATAGTCTCAAATGAATGGCCTCTATCTATCTATATCTGTTCTTGAATAGATTATGCCGCTTGTTTGGATCGCGTGGCTTCGCTTGTTGGCCCCGTCCTCGTCCGCCAATACTAAAGAATCGAAATTCACAAAGATCATCGACCAGGAAAAAACGTTGAGAAGAAGAGAGTACCTAAATTCCATGTAAGATCGCCCTTTGCCACCCGAGAGAGCACTCATCGAGCCAGCGATCCGGCGAGCTCTTAAGTTTGTGATATCATCAGCGTCGTGTTCTAGCTGCTCGACACCAGCAGCGTCCTCGCCGGCATTGAGAACCTGGACGCCATCTAAATCTTCCAGAAATCGAGAATAGAGATTGAAGTACCTTGGACAGCAAGTCCAGTTGATCTTCCAGCCTGTGAAAGCTCAGGTCCGCGCCGCTGTCAGCCGGCGGCAAGCTCGTAAGAACCTGGAGAATTAGAGTTTTTAGAACGGAAAAAAAAAAGAAGCTCGTTCCAGCTCCTAACCTTGAAACTGTATCCCTGATCGATCAAAAACTGCTGCCGCTTGGAAGAGTAATACATTTCCTACACAATGAAAGATTTAAATGAAGTGAAGTGATACTCTTATTTGGCCAGCAAAGAACCTGAGTGTCCGTGGAGACCAGCGAGTAGAAGAAGGCATTGAATTCCTCGGTGCCACCTTTCACACGATCTTTGGGTTTTCCCTGGAATCAGAGGATCTCTAATTAGTGTCTCTCTTGGTCTCCATAGAAACTCTTAAGAACCTTTGCTCTCAATATTCGACCGAGTCGTTGTGCTTCTTGACGCCGGGAACCAGCATGTGAAGAGATTTGGATGATAACATTTGCCTCGGGTATATCAATGGAATTGTCACCGACCTGAGAGAAGCAGGTGCACAAGAATAAGACATGAGAAAAGTACCTTTGACACAAATACCTTTGACAAGAAAACTGTGTTGACATCGGGACTGTGTTTAAAAGCGTACAATATCTTTGTTCTTTCATGGTGGCTGCAACAAACAAAGTTTCAACGCCAAATGTCTAAGAAGTCTCTTTTACCTGGTCGGACCGTAAATGAAAGGCCTTTTCAATTTTGTGGCATACTCTCTCAGGGCGAAAAGATTATCAGAAAAGACAATAATCTTGTCTCCTCGCTGTTGTTCGTGAAAACGGATGAGAAACTCACAAGCCCGAAATTTATTGGGGTTCATTACGTATAATGCCTGCACAGGAACGTCAAGCGGTGGTAAATAAAACGGAAATGAATAAGTAGGAATTTACCTGTTGCTTTCTGTTCTCCTTCTTCAGGTATTCGGCGTAAAATTCTTTAGTCATTGGGCACCAGACTTCAGCACATTGAACATTGGCAATGTAGCCGCCTTTCACAAGATCTAGCCAGTTCGCCTCGTACAGCTTTGGACCAATTAGAAAATTCAGATCGGTAATACGTTCGTCTTCTCTGACAAGTGTGGCTGCAAGAAACTCACAAGGTGTAAGTCCCAGCCGTATATTTAATAGCTGCTTACCAGTGAGTCCAAGTTTGCAGTGAGACTTGGTGATACTAATAACTTTACGAAACATATGAGCAGGCACAACATGCACCTACAAGGAAAAAGAGACGGTCAGTAGTACAATTTTGAAGATAGTCGTATTACCTCATCCATAAGAAGTAAGCCCCACTCGCGGCTTTTTATCAATTCAATGACTTTTTCGGATTCTTCTGATCGTTTGCCTTTGAAAGCAACCATGTTGTAGGTGGTCACAACGACACCGACGTTTGATTTGAACTTGTCTTTACTGTCTGATGTGAAACGAGAAATCTGATCGTCACGGATAGTAGACCAGAGTTTAAACTGAAAGGCCCACTGGTCAACCGACACTGCATTGGTGGCTAAGCACAGGCAGCTTTTGCGAATGCGGCAGGCGGCTGAGACTCCCACTAAGGATTTACCAGCTCCACAAGGTAATACGATAATTCCAGACCTCGCACGTCCTGGAGTACAGGTCACTACTCAAAAACTTGCAAAACATGGTTGTTATACACACCATTTCCAAACATTTTGCTCAAGCTCTTTTCTTGATAAGGTCGAGGTTGAGCTTGAGGTTTCAATTCAATGCTTAAGTCAGGATTGACCTGCATGAAAAAGAAAACTTTCACGAAAATCAGGTAACAAATATCATGCACAAAAGAAATTACCGAATCGTTTCTAAAGTCGTATTCCTCGAGCATCGGATAGTTTAAAGCACTTGGCAGGCACCTCTGCTTCACATGTTCTACCTGAAAACTTCCTGTGTGAGCTAAACCGACTTAACCAATACAAGAATAGTTACTTGAGCAGGATCAATTTCAAAAGACATCACATCCTTCTCTTCTCCAGCAGCAACTTCATCCCCGGCAAGCAAGTCTTGTTCTGTGGTAGCATTGGACAACGACTTGTTGACCGTAAAACCGTGCTCCGCACTTGCCTAGAAGATTTTGCCGAGAGAAAAATAGTCAGGATAAAGAAACAAACATTGAAAGAAAAACTTTCACATGCCTCCGAAAAAATTCTGGCTCGAGAGATGACATCGTCCTTTAAAACCCTCTCCAGAATCTGCACGATAGAAAGTAAGTTTCGCCAATCAAAGTTGCACCATACCTCCGGATAAGAAGATTCTACAAAATAACGATTCTTCTGCAGAACTAGTTTTACTTTGCCATAGTTGAGAGTCGACTCTTTGATGAAATTCACAATCTCCTGCGGGAGCCTTGCTTTCGACAGCCGTTCCAGCACCGTAATGACTGTCTGAGTCTCAAGACCAACGGAGACAGCCGCGTACAAAGAATGTGGCGTGAGATTGTACTCGTGCATATGTTCTGGACTGGAACAACGTTTTAAAGACAAATACTTGAGTATAAGAACTTCTCATATCAGCGAGACCTGACGCTTACCGACACACAGGCTCGGCAATGGCAATGAGAAAGTCGTATGCTTGCTTGTATAGCGGAGAAAACGTCTCGAGAAAGATATGGCCATCAGGTCCAACCCAGAGTGGTCTCTTCTCGTGGTCTGGCTTTAGCTCGAGCTTGCTAAAATCCATTTTCCCCGCGGTTTCATGCTCGTCGACTACATACACAACAAATCCCATCCTTAGAAAGAACTAGAAAGAAAAAAAGAAGTGTAGAGAGACGAACCTTCATCCTCTTCCTCATAGACCTCGACGATGTCTTCTTCCATGTCGTCATCGGCAGGAATTTGGGGGGGAGCCGAGGACTCCGGTTCCTAGAGAGCAAGAAACGAAAATTTCATCGCGCGATATCGATGGCGCCTTTGCCATACCTTGCCGCGCTTTTGCTTCTTGCTGGGCCGATTCTTCTCACCTGCAGAAAGATCGAGCTCGTAATCTGGCGGCATTCATGAGAATGGCGCTTCCACTCACCCATCACGCAGCAGAGCTCTAGAACCCTAAATCGAGGTACTATAGTATTTTATTTGTGCTCTCTAGAGGCTAGGGTTTTCAAGGAATGGGGCGGTGTGGCGAGGGATTCCACGACTACTACACATCTCGGATCCACGATGCCTCGCAGCAGCTGCGCATCAAGGGCAACAATCTCGCGCGCCTGGAAGCGCAGCGAAACGATCTCAACTCCAAAGGTACCGAATCGAAAATCTCGCGAGAAGCGTGATCCATAGGTTTTTATTTCCTTCTTCCAGTTAGAATGCTTCGAGAGGAGCTACAGCTATTGCAAGAGCCGGGATCGTATGTTGGTGAGGTCGTCAAAGTGATGGGAAAGAGCAAAGTTCTTGTGAAGGTATGTAATTTTTTTTCTCCTCCCTTCTGGCACTTTAGAGTATTATTTTCTTCTTGGTGGAACTTTAGGTGCACCCAGAAGGAAAGTATGTCGTAGATGTTGACAAGAGCATCGACATGAGCAAGATCACTCCCACCACTCGAGTTGCTCTTCGAAACGATAGCTATGTGCTGCACTTGATCCTTCCCAGCAAAGTGGATCCTCTCGTGAATTTGATGAAGGTTGAGAAGGTCCCGGACTCCACGTACGATATGATCGGTGGGCTTGACCAGCAAATCAAAGAGATCAAAGAGGTCAGTTTTGGCTATGCTTTTCCCTTCGAGGTTAAGTTTCTTATTTCATTTCTTTCTCAGGTTATTGAGCTTCCGATCAAGCATCCTGAGCTTTTTGAGAGCCTGGGTATTGCACAGCCGAAGGTAAAATTTTGCTAGCAAAAGTTTGGCTTTTGGTACCAGCATCTATTCTTATCTTCTGCTGTGCAGGGAGTGCTACTGTATGGCCCTCCTGGAACTGGAAAAACTTTGCTGGCTCGGGCCGTGGCTCACCATACTGACTGTACATTCATAAGAGTTTCAGGGTCCGAGCTAGTCCAGAAATACATCGGAGAAGGGTCGAGGATGGTGCGAGAGCTTTTCGTCATGGCAAGGTATCGTAATGTCCATATTCTATCCTAGTATAGTTACGTTTTTCTGTGTTTTCTTAGAGAGCATGCTCCATCCATTATCTTTATGGACGAGATTGACAGCATTGGCTCGTCCCGTATGGAGTCTGGCAATGGCAACGGGGACAGTGAAGTGCAGAGAACAATGCTGGAGCTGCTCAATCAACTGGATGGTTTCGAGGCCTCCAACAAGATCAAAGTTCTCATGGCTACAAACAGGATCGACATCCTTGATCCCGCTCTCCTCCGGCCCGGACGAATAGACCGCAAGATCGAGTTTCCAAACCCAACTGAAGAGGTATTTCCTGGTCCTTTTTTTCTGTTCTTTCCTCACGCGCTCGTTTTTCCAGTCCCGTCTGGATATCCTCAAGATCCATTCGCGCAAGATGAATCTAATGCGGGGGATCGACCTGAAGAAGATCGCCGAGAAGATGAACGGTGCCTCGGGAGCGGAGCTAAAGGTTTGTGATGCTCGCGCTTTAGTTGGTCCTTGACGACGGAGTGTGTTTTTTTTTTTTTTTGCTCTCCAGGCGGTGTGCACGGAGGCTGGAATGTTTGCTCTGCGAGAGAGGCGCGTTCATGTCACCCAGGAAGACTTCGACATGGCGGTGGCCAAAGTGATGAAGAAGGAGACCGAGAAGAACATGTCTTTGAGAAAGCTATGGAAGTGAGTTAAATCAAAATCTCTTACTAAAATGGAGCTCTATATACGTTTGGACGGAATGATTAGTTTAATAGACCAAAAAATTGAGCTCAACTCTTGAGCTCAAAAGTCAATCCTTGAAGTCGATGGTAGTCAATTTTCGAGGACTTTCATTCACTATATTGACTTTGTAATTGATTTTTTTGCCTCTCATTGACTTTTAGTAAAAATGTTTTGTTTGGTCAAAGACAGATTACAAGACAAAAATGATGCTCTAATTACAGTAGGGAGTAAAAAATGTCGGCAGTATCTTCAAAGGATCTAATATTTAAAACATGCGGCATATTTTCATGCATATTCTAACGTTTGAAAACTTCTTCGCGCGGCAGCAGAATTTCTAGATCTGCAAAGCAAATTGTCTCGAGAATGTCCGTGGTGTTGATTCAGATCTGGGTCTTTCTGCCCTTTCCATCTGAAAAATTTTATATTTCCAATCGAACTTGAACATCACCGGAGAGCCTATTCACTCTCTCGATTTTTGATGGATCAGTGAACGAGCGAGCGAGCAGGATGACGATCCTCTCTCTCTCCGTGCTGAGCGTCTCCGAGCAGCAACTGGCAGCGCTCGTGAATTACATTGGCTGGTCTTACGTCGTCGTCTGGTCGCTGCCACAACGGTGAGTTTTGGAGAATTGTATCTCGTTTCCTCCCTCTCTCTATCTATTTCTCTCCAGAAGGGAGAGCTGAGATTTCCAATCTCTTATCCTCGTTTCTGGAGAGCACGATGATGATCTTCTTTGTGTATATTATGAAATGAGGCCTTGCATGGGTGCTCTTGATACTATCAAGTAATAAATACCTCGGTTTTTCGTCGACTGCAGTGCTCTCGTGTGGCAACTATGGCCGGCAGGGTCCAGTTTCCAGCAAACGCTGTTCTACACAGCTTACAAGTCCTGCCAGTTTCCATTCGGACATGGGTATTGAGAGTTTTCAGCGCGAAGTTTGAATAAAAGAAGGCTTTTTTCACCTTCCAGGCATGCTGGTATAGCAGTGATCAGACGCGAGCACGTATGGGTCACAGGCGTGGATGTCACGAACACCTCAGTGCTCGAGCAAAGAGATTTCCTGCAAGTAAGTCCTTGACTTTGACAAAACTGAAGCAAGCTTTGTTTCCTTACCTGCATTTTAGGCTACAATCATCCAGAGCCTCCTGTGCATCCCGCTGCTGGATGGCGTCCTGGAAATTGGTTCCACGGACACTGTAAGACAATCCAAGCTTAGAGTTGTTCCATGTAGATTCTTGAGATCGACTCCTTGCTCCAGACTATAAGAACATTCCTGTATGCTGCTCCTGTTTCATTGCCAGTACCAACGGAACATCCATCAACCTCGACGTCATCCATTTTCTCACAATCTCCTTCCGAGGCATCGCTAGACATCCCTGGCCTGCATCATCAAAGTTACACGACGTCAGACTGGACGACAATCTATCAAGCAACTTCAAGCCTAGGAACTCTTGTAGCAGGAGAGCAATCCGATCCTAGTTCAGCCTCGGCATTTAGAAAATGGGATCCGCTCCAACAGAAGAGCATGGCAATTCCCACTGTGGTATTATGAAACGGTGTTGTGTTATTATTATGACGGTTGATACATGGTTAAATATATGGGTTTATCGTGACGATCCGTGGTGGCGTCTGGATCGCTCACGTGGCTGTGTGCTGACGTGGTCTTGTTCACTCCCACACTCCTCCTCAAGGCCAACGTCTAAGGTCAGCCCAAGTGCCTTCGTGAAGACTTCATGTTTAACACGAGGAAGTGGTTTTGTTAGCACGTCCGCTAGCATGGAGTTTGTCGGGCAGAACTCCAGCTCGATCATTCCTCTCTGGATCTGCTCTCGTATAAAATGGAAGCGCAGCTCAATGTGTTTAGTACGAGAGTGGAACCTGGAGTTCTTGGTCAAAGCTATTGCAGACTGGTTGTCACACAATAGCTTGACCACGCCCGTGTTGATTTGTAGATCCTGGAGAAGTCCCTTCAGCCACGCTGCTTCCTTGGTTGCAGCTGCTGCAGCTATGTACTCAGCCTCGGTACTCGACATTGCTGTAATAGCCTGTCGTTTGCTGCACCAGCTTGCGACATTTCCATTTAGCAGGAAAACGTAGCCTGTGGTTGACTTCCTGTTGTCTGGATCCCCGGCCCAATCAGCATCAGAGTAACCAGCCAGCTTGTTGCCGCTCTCGCCTCTGGAGTACTTTAAACTTAGCTGGTTAGTCCCTGCCACGTACCTCATAATACGTTTCAAAGCCTGCCAGTGTGCTGTGGAGGGACGGTCCAGGTACTTCGCCACTGTTCCCACAGCATACGCAAGGTCAGGCCGAGTGGAGATTACCAGGTAGATCAGGCTGCCGACCATAGAGCGATAGACTGCTCTAGATGCTTTCTCCTCCTCGGGAGATTGATCAAGGTACTCTCCACTCTCAGCAGATAATTTCGTGCCTGTTTCCATGGGAGTAGCAACCGGATTAACATGAGCAAGGCCATACCTCTGGAGCACGTCGGAAACATATTTTGCCTGGCTTAGCTCCAGAGTGCCTCGTTCCCTGTTGCGCGTCACCTGGATACCGAGGCAGAAATGCAACTCACCGAGGTCTTTCATGGCAAATTTAGCGCCAAGGTACGTTTTAAATTTGTGGATCAAACGTAGCTGATTTGCCACGAGAATAGCATCGTCCACATATAGCGCAAGGAACAAATAGCCCTCAGCGTCAAAATATATGTAGAGGTTACAATCAGCAGCACTGCGCACGAAACCAAGGGAAATTAGAAAAGAATCTATTTTCGTGTACCATTGGCGTGGCGACTGCTTGAGTCCGTAGAGAGCTTTGTTAAGCTTGCAAACGAGGTGTTCTTCTCCAGGCTGGATAAAACCAGGAGGCTGAGCCACATACACCTCTTCATCGATGTCGCCGTTAAGGAACGCAGTACAAACGTCAAGTTGATGGAGCTCGAGATCCAATTCTGCAGCTAAGATTAGTAGCATACGAATGGTTGTGAGTTTCACCACCGGGCTGTAAGTCTCCGAGTAGTCCAGCCCATGAACTTGAGAAAATCCGCGTGCCACAAATCTCGCCTTGTAGCGCTCAATGCTTCCATCAGCGTTGTACTTTTTCTTAAACAACCACTTGGATGAGACGAGCTTTCTGCGAGCTGGAAGTTCAACCAGCGACCAAGTGTTGTTTTTCTGGAGAGAATCATACTCCTCCTGCATAGCTGCCTGCCAGTGTTCAGCTTCTGGTCCATGTAGAGCCGCTTGGGGACCGAGAGAGGCAGGTGGAGCCGACAGAGCCCAGAAGTAGGCGCGCTTTCCTATAGGCATCGCCTCCTTGGCTTTAAGAGATGGTTTCACGACACGACCCGAGCGTGTCACCACTGCTGTGCCGGCTGGAGGAGGTGGTAGCTTGGGAATGCTGGGAGGAGTGGTGGCATCTTGATATAACTCGTCGCCAACGAACAGGTCAGCCACAAGCGTGGAAAGATCTGGCTGTTCATTGGTGCTTGAGGATGCAGCCGCTGTGGCCTGTGGAGTCGTCAGAGGAGGTGTCGAAGGAAGAGAAGTACCGTGATCAGCTCCTCCTGCCAGATCGCCTCCTTCGGGCGCTCCTTCAGCAACTCCTCCTGTCTCTGCAGCGGCTGGATTGTCTGGTGCTGGGTGGAGATGTGGAACGTCGTCTAAAATCTCAGAAAGATCCACCAGAGATGGTGGAGAAACAGGAGGGAGTCTCAGGGTATCTCGATAAAGACGAGCTTCATCAAACACCACATCTCGGCTCACCACCAGTTTCCTGCGCTGGCAGTTATAGAGTCGATAGGCTTTTACCTGGGTGTGATAGCCCATGAAGATGCATTTCTCGCTCTTGGGATCCAGCTTCCGCCGCTGAACATCGGGGATGTGGGCGTAGGCTATGCAACCAAACACCCTCAAGTGCCCTAACTTGGGGCGCTTCCCAGTCCATACTTGAAACGGCACCTGTCCTGTGGAACGTGTTGGCAGCCGGTTCCGGAGGTACACTGCTGTGTTGAGTGCCTCTCCCCAAAACACCTTGGGCATGCCAGCGTGCTGGAGAAGGCAGCGTACACAGTCCATAAGTGTCCTGTTCAGGCGCTCGGCGACCCCATTCTGCTGCGAGGTGTGGGCTGCGGTGTACTCGTGGTGGATGCCAGCCTGAGCAAGAAATGCCAGAAACTCCTTGCTCATATACTCACCGCCGCCATCTGAACGTAGTGTCCGGATGGTACAGCCAGTGGCATTTTCTGCCCAGCTTTTGTAGACCTGGAAGTGATGGTAGACCTCTCCCTTGTGTGCCATGAGAACAGCCACCGCATAGCGTGAGTAGTCGTCAATGAACGAAACGAAGTACCGCTTGTGACTGAGAGTTGCTTCTGGCACATGGCACACATCCGTGTGTACCAACTGAAGAAATCCTGAGGCGCCATCTTCTGGACTTCTGCGTGGAAAGGGTAGTCTTGGCTGCTTCCCCAGTTGGCACGTCTCACATACTCCCAGTTGGCTGGCACCGGTGAGGGTAAAATCATCAGCAAGCTTGTGGCTAGCAAGTAGCTGGATGTCGTGAGAATTGGCATGCCCTAGCCGAGCGTGCTAGAGCTGGAGAGAGTTAGCAGCCCAGGAGCTGGGGCGAATTGCAAGCAAATGCCCCTGCTCGTGAGTTGAGAGGATCAACTGAGCATTGAGCTTGTAGAGAGTCTCAGCTCGTCTACCAAAAGCTACTGGATGGCCAGTCTCGTCAAAGATGGTGCATCCGTCTGCGTTGAAGAGTGTTGAGAAGCCTTGATCTGCTGCTACACCAACTGAGAACACTGTCTGTCCTGCTTCTGGTACGTAGTAGACCTGGTTCACGAGCTTCTCAGCTCCACTCTCCAACTTTATGACGACCGTTCCTTGTCCTTCCACTGTTAAGGGGCGTTTGTCTCCTACAAAGACTTGCTTCTCCTGCTCCAGTGGCCGGTACTTGTGAAAAGCTCTCTTCAATGGTGTGAGGTGCATCGAGGCTCCAGAATCCATCCAGAGCACTTCGGCTTCAGACACAGTGGATGAAGATGCAGCGAGCGTCATCATCAACATCGTGTCAGGTTGGCGTGAAGAAGAGCTTCTTTCAGCGCGAGCTTTCTCTGCGGCTTTCTTGATCCGGCATTCACGCTCCACGTGGCCAGCTTTGCCGCAGTAGTTACATGGGCCCTTGCGTTTTTTATTGGTTGCAAATCCAGGGCTGGGAGAAGGGCTCTTTTGTCCTCGAACAGGGCCATCTCGTTTCTTCCCACCCGATTGCTTTCCCATGATCAAGGCCTGCTCCACCCGAGCAGCCTGAGAGGGCGCCTTTTGTCTCCGCTCGTTCTGCTTTCGTTCTTCCTCGATCAGGTCCGAGTAGAGCGAGTCCAAGTCCTTTCCAGGCACTGCCGAGAGCATCGATGCGAAAGGTTGGAGATCAGGGGAGACCGAGCTCAGAAGGAATGCCTTAGCTTGATCGATGGTGATTGCCGCTTCCGCGTCCTTCAGCTCGCTGATCATCGCTTTAAACTTTCCAATGTAAGTGGCCATGGTGTCATCAGGTTGCATTCTCATCGTGAAGAACCTTTGTGTTAGCACCACCTTAGCATTGGCAGCTTTGGCAGCGAAGATTTGTGTAAGGGATGTCCAGTTCTGGTGGGCTGTTTTGGTAAGATCAAGGAGATGAACGAATTCATCCCCAAGACCTAACCCGATGACAGAGAGCGCTTTCCGATTCTTGGAGTCCCAGTCGAGCCGTTGGGTTACATCCGCAGCAGCCGGACGTTGAGTCGTTCCATCCACTATAGGCCAGCAGTCCTTGGCCAAAAGGATAAGCTGTACTTTTGTTTTCCAAGTGGAGAAATTCTGTCCCGTGAACTTTTGGAGAAGTTTCTCCCAGCCCCCAGAGTCCCAAGAATTTCCTGCTGCGTTAGCAGAAGACATTCTATCTATTAATCTAAGAATAGATTAAACAGAGAATTTAGAAAGGACGGCGTGGAGAAGAATCGTGAAAAACTCGGCCGCAACAAGGGCACACCATCCGGCAGGCTGGGCAAAGAGCTTGTTGGCGCTTTCGGTCCTGGATCTTCCGCTCCACCCGCGCCAGCACTGCCAAAGCCCTCGCGCGCTCCTGAGCCAAGGGTTCCTGGCCCCTTTGATTCTTCATGTGCCACTGTCCTCTGGCCATTAGATCGTTCGCTGCTCCGATACCATGTGGTATTATGAAACGGTGTTGTGTTATTATTATGACGGTTGATACATGGTTAAATATATGGGTTTATCGTGACGATCCGTGGCGGCGTCTGGATCGCTCACGTGGCTGTGTGCTGACGTGGTCTTGTTCACTCCCACACCCACTACCTTGCAGGCAATGATCAAGAGGATGTTGCGAGCACTAGCTCAAATAGAAGAAATAAGAAAACGAGCTCGTGGTTTAGCACAAGGGCCAACACAAACTATGTCAGGAGGAGAAGATGCACGTACCCGAACTATACACATAGACGCCGAGCGAAACCGAAGACGGAAGCACAAGGACAGCATTTCGAGGTTGAGGTCGTTGATCCCATTCAAAACGAAGGTAAGTAAGATCAATCCGAGATCGATGAAAGCTCTTACATTCTTTGCTCGCAGGATAAGTTATCTGTGCTGCAAGGAGGCTGGAATGTTTGCTCTGCGAGAGAGGCGCGTTCACGTCACCAAGGAATACTTCAACATGGCAGTGGCCAAAGTGATGAAGAAGGAGACCAAGAAGAACACATCTTTGAGAAAGCTATGGAAGTGAGTGACGGTTAAATCAAAAGCTCAGGCTCCACCTTATCAAACTGAAGTTGCTATAATCAGAAGTGTGATTTGCTTGTCCCAAGAAATTGAGCTCAACTCATGAGTTGAGTTGAGCTCAATAGTCAGTTTAGATTCTAGATTTATAAATTTTATTTGCTTTTTTATCCTTCAGTTGATGACTGAGATTTTATGTTTGAGATCGGAAATATGGGGTGGGGGGCCGTAAGAGAGAGAGAGAGAGAGAGAGAGAGAGAGAGAGAGCGAGAGAGAGATGTTATTTGAGTTTGACTATTGCCTCTCATTGGCTTTTAGCTCAACTTTGAGCTCGTGGCCCTGTCCCAGCTGAAATTTGGAGCTCAGGGCTTGAATTTTTCTGTTTGTTCGAAGATAGCTTAACAGCGAAGTCAAAAATGTTGGGCGGTCGCAAGAACTATCTCCAGTATCTTCAAAGAAGTAACACTGACATTTTGGAAACTTTTTCTTGTGTCTTCAGGTACTTGAAGAGAGCCATTCTTCACCGAGTCACCCCAATCTAATGTCTTCCTGTTGAATTCCCTGTTGTCCAAGTCCAGAACTTTTCTTCACTCTTTAATGTTTAAAATATGCGGCATATTCCCATGCATATTCCCAAGTTTGAAAACTTCTTCGCGCGGCAGCAGTCTTTCTAGATCTGCACAGCTAACTGTCTTTCGAGAATGTCTGTGGTGTTGACTCAGATCTGCCTTTCTTTCTGCCCTGTCCATCTGGAAAGTATTATATTTCCAATCAAACTTGAACACCATCGGAGAGGGTGGGTGTCACTCGCTCGATTTTCGATGAATCAGCGAGCAAGATGACGATCCTCCCTCTCTCCGTGATGAGCGTCTCCGAGCAGCGACTGGCAGCGCTCGTGAATTACATTGGCTGGTCTTACATCGTCGTCTGGTCGCTACCATCACGGTGAGTTTTGGAGAATCGTATCTCGTTTGAGCTTTTTCTTCCTCCCTCTCTCTATCCCTTTCTCTCCAGAAGGGAGAGCTCCAATCTCTTTTCCTCGTTTCTGGAGTGCACGATGATGATCTTCTTTGTGTATATTATGAAATGAGGCCTTGCATGGGTGCTCCTTCTGATACTATCAAGTAATTCACGAACCAAATACCTCGGTTTTCGTCGACTGCAGTGATCTCGTGTGGCAACAAGGCTTATGGCCAGCAGGCTCCAGCTTCCAGCAAGCGCTGTTCTACACAGCTTACAAGTCCTGCCAGTTTCCATTCGGACATGGGTATGGAGAGTTTTCAGCGCGAAGTTTGAATAAAAGAAGGCTTTTTTCACCTTTCAGGCATGCCGGTATAGCAGCGATCAGACGCGAGCACGTATGGGTCACAGGCGTGAATGTCACGAACACCTCAGTGCTCGAGCAAAGAGATTTCCTGCAAGTAAGTCCTTGACTTTGACAAAACTGAAGCAAGCTTTGTTTCCTTTCCTTACCTGCATTTTAGGCCACAATCATCCAGAGCCTCCTGTGCATCCCGCTGCTGGATGGCGTCCTGGAAATTGGTTTCACGGACACTGTAAGAAAATCCAAGCTTAGAGTCGTTTCTAATCTTGTTCACCTTGTAGATTCTTGAGACCGACTCCTTGCTCCAGACTATAAGAACATTCCTGTATGCTGTTCCTGTTTCATTGCCAGTATCCACGGAACATCCGTCAACCTCGACGTCATCCATTTTCTCACAATCTCCTTCCGAGGCATCGCTGGACATCCCTGGCCTGCATCATCAAAGTTACACGACGTCAGACTGGACGACAATCTATCAAGCAACTTCAAGCCTAGGAACAGGAGGGCAATTCGACACTAGTTCAGCCTCGGCATTTAGAAAATGGGATCCGCTCCAACAGAAGAGCATGGCAATTCCCACCACCTCGCAGGCAATGATCAAGAGGATGCTGCTAGCACTAGCTCAAATAGAAGAAGTAAGAAAACGAGCTCGTAGTTTAGCACAAGGACCAACACAAACTATGTCAGGAGGAGAAGATGCACGTACCCGAACTATACACATAGACGCCGAGCGAAACCGAAGAAGGAGGCACAAGGACAGCATTTCGAGGTTGAGGTCGTTGATCCCATTCAAAACGAAGGTAAGTAAGATCAATCCGAGATCGATGAAAGCTCTTACATTCTTTGCTCGCAGGATAAGTTATCTGTGCTGCAAGGAGCAATAGATCACATGCAATACCTACAAACAAGGGTAGCACAGTTAGAGAACAGCAAGGCAACAACAGAAGAAACGGCCGGCCCAGGAGCAGAGATCGGGGCAATCAAGACAGAACTTACAACCAGTGACGATCGAGATGAGTTGTCTGTGAATGCTCTCGACGATGAAGGAACTTTTGCCATCCGGATACATAGAAGAAGACCACAGCGTCAGGACGTTATGCTTCAGCTGCTCAACTACCTGTGGAGCTTAGGATTGTCGGTCACGTCTATAGACTCGGCAGTGACAGAGAATAGCTTTCGAGCTGCTTTAGTAGCAAAACCAAGGGTAAGTAACAATTGTGACTACCGATCATAAGCAAGCTGACTCGTTACCTTTTATGCAGAGTAACAGCAATAGGAAAATCCAGCCTACTGACATTGAGACATTTTTGAATAAGCTTCTGATTTGAGAGAACTCGGCTTTGATGAAGATCTGATACACAAATTTTGGTCGTTGTTTAGCAATTCAAAGAGGTCCCGACTGTGCCCCAGGCGAAATTACTAACACTGTAGTAAAGAGTAGAATGGTGAGACAAACATCTGGTTTTTCATGACAAGAACTTACAGCAGTGCTCCCAAAAAAATAAATCTAGAGAGTGCTCTTGAGTGTCACGGGATATGAAAAAACTTTTGCTTGAGAGCACTGCAAAAAGAAGCTCATTGTATGATGACCAGCACCTGGATATGAGAGTTTTACAATGAAAATTACCTGGTAGAATGAAATCGCAGGAACGCAGCAGCACAATTGGCTTCGCAGTAGTGACAAATCCTGCTCAAACAGTCCATGCGATAAGTATGAAATAATACATAGCGGACCTTCTTACCACAAGAGCGATAGAACTTTTAGCTATTTCCAAGTTCCATCAAATACCCCCTGACTGTGAAAGGTATGCCAAGCTGACAGTCCGCATACTTCCAGCTCCACAGTAGTAATACCTTCCCCACCATTCCTGTGGCTAAACTAAACAACAGCCATAAAGAAAATCCGAAAGTTTTCTACAAAATTGTCCACAAACCGGGAATGTAGCTTGGCGAACTGAAAAATTACGATAGGATTTGGAGAGCCCCTCCATCGCTTCCGGGACATGAACGAGTGCGCTCCATCCCAGCAGTGCAAGGAAGGAGACTCTAAATTTCGAATGAAAGTTTTTATGTCATAGTTTATTCAGCTAGCAATTTGCATCGAATTCAAACACTCACTCTCAAGATAGACTTATCGTAAAGTAATCTGATAGAGCTTGGAAAGCCTGATACTTTGATCGATCATAAAGCATTTTGCTCACGAGAGTGTGCTCAAAAACTGTGTAGTAATGATGAAGCCAGCTCCTGTTATCATCACACCCAGTGCCAAACGACCTCCAGGAACCATAGGAGGAACAGCGGGTAAAGAAGATGTCGAGTATCTTTGTGACCAGGCCATAGATGCCGGCAAAATACCAAACAAGACTAGCACTGCAGTGAAAAAGAGAGAAAAAAAAGTGATAAGGCGAAGCATCTTGTTTTTGTCCAACAGCTTACCGCCGTAGGCACCAGCAAAATCCAAAGCTTTGAAAAATATGTCTGGAGATAGTAACGCGAGTGCTGTTGGAGGAAGCAGAGTCACGGCATATGGTAAAGGTTTTCTGGATCCGACACCCGGGAGCTTGAGCACTAACAAGAAGCTACCATAAGCTTTCAGGAAATCAATCAGCACTTACAATCGGCGACGAAGTCCGACAGACCAAGCACAAAACCGATATAAGACGTCGCTATGGCCAGCAGCGAGAATACTTCCACCAGAGGCTGTTACAAAAACGAAATTATTTACAACGATTGAGAAACAGCACAAACGTACGCTTATGATGCCGCTTTGTGATCGCAATTGCATCAATGGATCTGAAAGATATGAGTTTCCGGCTCCCGGGTATACGCTGCCAAGAATAATGGCATCCCATACAATAAACATTGCCAAGGGAATGGCAGTCCCAGCCACAATGGCGATCCTAAAGAATTAGGAACTAAGTTCTATAAT